GGAGGAAGCGGCTCCGAGCGAGACCGCATTGGCGGCTCGCGCTCGGGGCCAGGCAAACGGCAGGGGCGAAGCTGGGGGTGGCAGGACGGGCACTCCGAGTGCTCGGGGCGGGGTGCGACGGCGGGCGCGGGGGAGAACGCTACGCCGAGTGCGACCGCATTGGCGGCTCGCACTCGGGGATGGGCAGACGGCAGGGGCAGGGGTGGAAGCTGCACCGAGCCAGACCGCGTTGGCGGCTCTCCCACGGACAGGGGCAGCGGGTGGAAGCTGAGGACGGCGGAGCGGGCACTGCAAGTGTCGGGGCGAGATGCGACGGCGGGGACTTGCACGGCGTGCGCACTTGCAAGCGCGGTGCCAGGGGCGCTCTTGCCAGCGCGGTGGGCTGAGACGACAAGCCGGGCAGGATGGTCACTGTCAGGTCACGTGATGGGCTCATTCGCGTTGAATCTCCTAAGTCCGTGTTGGCTACTGTATGTCATAGCAATCCCAAAGTACATAGAGATACACTTCAGTTCATGAGGCTGTCACTGGTAAATGAATGGCACATTAGAGAAATCAACCACCTGAGACTAAACCATTATAATAGTGTTTCCTAGCCATCACTTCAGTGATCTACAGGGTACATAACTATGTTGTTGGCTACAGAGATATCTGGCTTTTCAGATATACATGCAAGATATGTATATAAAATAGGGGTAGATGGGATTAATTGATATCACAGAGGGAGACATGCAAGGATGAGGTGTCAGCAGTCTAGTACCAAACCCCAACTCCAATACTTACACCTAGATATGATTGACACTGCAACAACCTTCTATGTCGATGTTTTCAAGCTCCCTTGTACCTACAAGACAGTACTCTCTAAATGGTCAGTCATCTGGCATGATTTAACAGTTTTATGTGATTTTTTGACCTTTTTGTGAAATTTTAAGAGAATATAGTTGTATCATGAACTATGTATTCCTATGTGTAGAAATTTGCCAGAGGGGGCATTTCCTGATGAGTGCGCAAGGGCATGGAGGTTCTCAAACCCGATCCTGCCGAATATCCCTGGTACCCGTATCTTACGCATTTGTGGGAGGACAAACCGCTTCGCGAGTAGTACGGGGTTGATGCAGTATCCCCATCTATCGGTGTCAACTGCCGCGTATTTGATTGTCGTATGATTATTTGACAATGCGAGATTCGCAAGGCTTTCAAGCCCTTTTGCGAATTGCCAGCGGTGTTCGACCCCTGGGCCGATTATATGAAGTATGAGCCGCCGACATTCTACTTTTGTTGGCCTATGGACCCAAAGATCACGAATGCCTTTGCCATCAAGGAGAACTTAGCCTGGTACTGGAAGGAAGATGGGATGGGATGTAGATGGGAGGATCAGGATCTGGAGGCCACAGATACACAACACGTGCGATGATGTGGAGTCCAGTATCCATTAATAGATGCTCCCTCCATTATAATACCAAGCAGCACCAGCGACAACGGGTATTGCTACAAACTGTACGAAAACAAGATAGCGACAGAGTACACGGCACCAAAGGAAATCCCAAAGACTAAATCCGATCAGACCTTAGTCTCGTTGCCAGCCCGAGCTTCCGCCCACGCCGCCGTGCCGGGCGCGACGGACGACCCCGCGGTGGACACGGCCTCGGACGAGTGACCCGCGTACGTCTGAGGCACGGGCACGGGCATCGTCACAGGCGGCGCGGGTTCGTGATATTCGCGATAGTCTCCGCCTTCCTCGTCCTCGTCGTCCTCCACCTCCTCGATCCGCGCGCCGCCGTGCGGATCCGGTCGAGGTATCCCGTGCGGCCCTCCACCTCCACCGAACATGCCGGATAACATCCCGAAGTCGCTCAAGCCCGCGCTCACACCGCCGCCGGTGGGCCCGCCGATGGAAGGCATCGACATGAAGTCGAACGCGCCGGGAGACGACGCGCTGCCGGGCACGGAGGGTGCGAGGTGGCGCTTGACGCGGACGCGCTTCGTGCCCGCCTTCTCCTGGTTACGCTTCGGGCCAAGTCTCTGCTCCCAGAACACCCTGAGCGTCCGCTGCGCGGGAAGGACGACGAGGAACATGGGCAGGATCTGGCCAAAGCCCCAGTCGCGGTCGGCGTCGTCCGGGTGGTTGAAGTGCCGGAAGAGCTCGGTGTTGACGATCGCGATCGCGGACGCGGTGACGATGAGCGTCAGGTTCAGGATCACGCGCCCGTCCACGTTCGGCCTGTACTCCGGGTTGCTGTTGTCGTTCCGCTTCGGCTTCCGGTCTTTCTTCGACGTCGGTGTGGGGACCTGCGGGGGGTCCGGCGCGAGCGGGTGACGTTGCCGGGGTGCTGTCCCGGAGCCATAGCTCGTCTTGGAGGAGGCGCGTGATCGACCGGGGTGGGGACCGCCGTTGCCTAGGGAAGGGTAGCCGTAGATGGCATTCCCCAAATTGGAGGTGGATGCCGATTGTACGTTCACCATCGGAACCTCCGGCATAGGTGGGTCGAGATTCCTCGCTCGGGAAGTGGGAATCTTCCTGAGTATCCTGGCTTTCATCTCCCCGTTCCTCGCGCTCCGCAACGCGCGCTTGAGCGTGGCCGTGTGGTTGTAGTCGTTCCAAACGAGGATGGTGTAAAACAGGGCGAGCGCACCGTAGAGCGCAAGGCCCGCGATGCGCCCCTTGGTGACCGCATCGAACGGGGCAAAGATGACGACGGAGCGACGGTCGTTGCACTCGTGGTCGTTACCGAAGACGGGCGAGGTGCCGAAGATGGAGAGCACGGTGACGAAGACGACGTAAGATTGCCCGACGGCGAGCAGCTTTACCCACTTGTCCGACTTCTTGTACCGATTATATTGTGGCAAGGCAAAGAAGATGGCGAACCAGGAGCCGGTAAGGAGGTAGCAGACCATGAGACCGCTGAGTGCGCGATCAGCGCGAGGGGATGGACTGAGCACGCGGGCACGTACTCGTATAAGGCTAGCTGATCTTCAAGCGACTGCACCATGGTCGTGACGCACAAGGCGAGGTTCGTGATGATGAGCGTGGACAGTGCATCCGTGATTTCGTCTGCCGACGCGGAACGGGCGGCGAGGAGGGCTGAAGAAAGACCCTATGATAAGTACATGCTCTTTCTGACGGAGCACGCTTCAACGCACATAAAAGGACTGACTGCAAGTAGAATGAGATCCGGACACCGATGCCGCTCACGTCCGTGTTCGGGTTGGGCGGGCTGCACATGGACCGTCGACAGCGTCCTCAACAGAGGCGGGGCTGTCTCTGGGGGTATGCTGGTGTATCCTATGGGCATTTGGCGAAGAAGAAAGGGTACAGCCCATGCTGTCTCGAGGCGGGTCCTCGTTAGCGCTCGTACACGTGCCCGATGGCAGTTGGAGGCGAGCGCGGGAGTCTGTTCGTCGATCATCCGTTCGTGATTATTAGGAGGACGCGAGCAAGCACGTCGTCAACGCTGTGGGCGAGGGAGTATCGGTTGGAAGGACACAGACGAGAGCGCGCTAGAGGAACCAGGACGAGACAAGCAGGAGGCCCAAGGGCAGGCGCAAACGCGGCGCGGTCGTGCCCGCTCCGTGCTTGACCAGCTTCCATCATCATCCGGAACGCAATCCACTCCGGCTTGGGACGCTTGGTGGTGGTAATCTCAGCTGATCTCGTCGACCGCGAGGACCACGATGGTCGTAGCATGCGCACAACCTCTGAGGCCTCGGCATATCGTCGGGCGTGGACGAGACTATTATTACAAACGTCCAGTAACCAGACCGCGAGCTCTGGCCTACACGGACGCCATCTATCTGCATGACCGTACGGTGCACGACGTACTCCTTGGTCGATTCGGTATCGCTCATCTCACGTCGGCGTCGAATTCCCATCGGCACGCCGTATGTTTATCACCCCGGACGCGTCGAAGTCGCGGATAGCTCTCTTCGATTCTTGATCTGCATTGGCGAACGTCTTGGTGGGGACGTACGACACTCACGGATTACTCCGATCGTAGCTGATCCAGAGGGCCGCATTGGACTTTGCAACGCAGCGCGGGGTGATTTTCTCATGACCATGCGTCGTCACTACTTGCTCCGACACCAGATGGACGGTGGCAGTGGGCAGCTCGGACGAGATAACCGCGTGGTACGCAGACGTACCTTTCGCAGAGCAATCCCAACCCTAGACCGAAGCACGTCTATGAATGACTTGTTCATCTCGGCATCGATGGCTGGATCAAGCCCTATGACGGAGTCCGACCATGATACAATAGGAAACGCCGCCTCCACGACTTCAAGCCATCCAATGTGGGTTGCATACGACCAGGCTTATTCTTTGCCTTTTTATGCGCAGCAGAAAAACCCGACCTTTTCCACCGAAGAACAAGAGGTTGCTCTCTATTGCTTCTACCTTCCCACACGAAGCAAAGATGCACCGGTAACCTTGGCCTCCTCGATGGGTCTCCGCATGTCCCATCCCGACCGCTGCTATCTGGATCAGCGTGCAGAACCGCCTCACCTCTACCCCGAACCAGGTTGTTGCACGCGACGCCCTTCCATGCCGATAACCATTCTTACCCTCGCCCGCATGCTCCGAGCCTCGCAGGAACGCGCGGGAGGGAGGGGGCCTATAAGACGCGCGTGCAATCAGGGATGTTTGAAGCAAGGCCTCGTCCAGGACATCCCCTGCACCCTCCGACGATATGGTTGCGACCCGCCTCTTCTTCTTCGCCTCGGTGATCGCGCTCGCGGCGGCCACGCCGTTCGTCGGCAACCTCGTCCTGCATGAGTCCACGGACGTCGTTCCCGAGGGCTTCGTCAAGACCGGCCCCGCGTCGCCCGATACCCAGCTCAACCTTCGCATCGCTCTCGTTCAGAGCGATCCCGAGGGTCTCGAGAAGGCGCTGATGGACGTCAGCACGCCGTCCAGCGAGCTCTACGGCGAACATCTTTCCAAGGTTTGTCATCTTATCAGTGTACACTCGTCAGCCGGTCCTCATCAACAATCGTACCTTGCAGGAAGAGGTCGAGAAGTTTGTCGCTCCCACTCAGGAGAGCGTCGACGCGGTCAACTCGTTCCTCAAGGCCAACGGTCTCACCTCCAAGGTCATCTCACCCGCCGGTGACTGGCTCAGCGTCTCCATGAGCGTCAAGCAGGCCAACGCCCTCTTCGACGCGGACTTCCAGACCTTCACCCACTCCGAGACCGGTCAGTCGGCGATCCGCACGCTCGCCTACTCCATCCCCGCCTCGCTCAAGGGACACCTGGACCTCGTCCACCCCACCATCTCGTAAGCTGCCCCGCCCACGAAGCTCGTACCGATCACTCATATGGCGGTGATCCGTAGCTTCCCGAACCCCTTCGCCGGCAAGGTCCTGGCTAGCGCTCCTCTCGAATCCTTCGCGGGTGCCAAGAACCTCTCCAGCCGTGCCGTCCCAGCGTCTTGCGCGTCTACCGTCACCCCCGCCTGCCTCCAGGCTCTGTACGGCATCCCGACCACCAAGGCTACCCAGAGCACGAACAAGCTCGCCGTCTCTGGCTTCATCGAGCAGTTCGCGAATGCCGCCGACCTGAAGGTGAATTGACCCTGTGTCGTTGAATGGCGGACACCGTGCTGACGTTTCTCCCTTACCAGACGTTCTTGACCGACTTCCGTACCGACATGAGCTCCTCGACGACATTCACCCTTGAGACCCTGGACGGCGGCTCGAACCCCCAGAACGCTAACGAAGCCGGCATTGAGGCTGTAAGTGCCGTTCAACTCGATCTGCATCTCCTTCACTCAATCCGCCACACAGGACCTCGACATCCAGTACACCGTCGGCGTCGCCACTAACGTTCCCACCGTCTTCATCTCCGTCGGCGAGAACTTCCAGGACGGCGCGCTCGAGGGCTTCCTCGACATCATCAACTTTTTGCTGAACATGGCCTCCCCGCCGCAGGTGCTCACGACCAGCTACGGCCAGAACGAGAACACGATCTCGCGCGCCCTCGCCAACCAGCTGTGCAATGCTTACGCCCAGCTCGGTGCTCGTGGAACTTCCATTCTCTTCGCGTCCGGCGATGGAGGCGTGGCCGGATCCCAGACCACTCGGTGAGTGTCCTGTAACATCTAGCCACAAACCTTGTGCTGACTTGATGCAGCTGCACTACCTTCTTGCCGACGTTCCCCTCGGGCTGCCCCTTGTAAGTCATCAGACAACCTCTCTGATGCCAGTGCTCAACATTCCATCCAGCATGACCTCTGTCGGAGCCACGACCGGTATCTCCCCTGAGGCCGCCACCACCTTCTCCTCGGGTACGTCATCATTGCTCGTCGCTCAAGAGAGGATCTCATGCCATCGAAACTAGGCGGCTTCTCCAACTACTTCGGCACCCCGTCGTACCAGTCCACCGCCGTCTCCTCCTACCTCACCCGTCTCGGCAACACCAACAGCGGCCTTTTCAACCGCTCCGGCCGTGCCTTCCCCGACGTTGCCGCCCAGGGCCAAAACGTGGAGATCATCGTCGGCGGCAGCGCTGAGCTCGTCGCGGGCACGAGCTGCTCCAGCCCCATCTTCGCCTCCGTCGTTTCCCTCCTCAACGATCGCCTTATCGCCGCCGGCAAGAGCCCGCTCGGCTTCCTCAACCCTTTCCTGTACTCCACCGGCGCTTCCGCGCTTAACGACATCACCAGCGGACACAATACCGGCTGCAACACCAACGGCTTCGCCACCATGACCGGTTGGGACCCCGTCACCGGCCTCGGTACCCCCAACTTCGCTAAGGTAAGTGGCCTCTATGTCGCGGTTAATGAGAAATTGTGCTGACTGCATGCTTTTCAGCTCCTTACTGCTGTTGGGTTGTAAAAAGTCGCCATCTTTTTATGCTTCGTGGATCGGATACGAGATGGATGATTAGTGATTACTCTGTATCCTGGAAGCGCAAATGTATTTCGTAGCAATTAATGCATGAGACCTTGCATGGAGTAACATACAATAGCATAGCATGAGACAAAGGAATAGCAACGAAAGCGAACTGTAACAAAAAGGGATGTCCCGATACGGTAAAACCTGTCATGAATTCGGCACGTTCGATTTGTACGTCTCAACCATCTCGTTAAGCTGCTGATTACGCTTATCTGCATGCTCCTTCTCCCGCTGAAGGCGCCTGAAGCCAAGTTAGTTGCACATCAACTCGGCATGAACAGAAACCGCACTTGATCGTGTTCTCCAGTTGCAGGTGCATCTCCTTAGCACCTTGCCGTTCGCGCTTCACCTTCTCTTCGGCCGCCTTCAAGCGAGACTCGTATTCCTTCACCCTGGCCTCCCACTTATTGTCGGCGACTAGGGTCTTCTGGTTCATGGAGGCGAGTTTCTCCTCGGCGGCGGCGAGCTGGTTCTGGGCGACGTTCATCCTACGCTCCGCGGTAGTCGCCCGGCTGTGAAGAGACCGCAGCTCGCTCTGATCCACCTGACCAGGTTTCTTAGTCCCTGAAATTTGTGCCTGCAGGTCGGATATGGTGGCCTAACGAAACGCAAGCTCAGCATCGTGATGACCAGCGCGGAACATTCACGTACCTTGAGGCCGTCCATCTCTCCCTCCTTGGCGCTCATCTTACGTCGCCAGGTGGCCTTGGCGTCCGCCAACGTCTTCACGCTCGCCTCGAACTTGTCGATCTGCTTCCACCTTTGGTCGAGTTGCTTCCGCATGTCGGTGAGCTTCTCAGTGAAGCGCGCTTCCGCTTCCTTGCAGCGCTTCTCGAAGGTGATCTGAATCTGGCTGAGGGCCTTGAGCCTGCTGATCAAGTTATCGTGGAAGACGCCAAAGTTGGTAAACGGCTTCGTTTCGGCTTGTCCTTTCTTCTACAACCTCATATTAGCTTCTGAAGGAATAAGGGTGGAATTCAACTAACCGCGGTCTTGTCCACACCCAGTATTTTGTCCAGGTACTGGTAAATGGTCAACAGGAGCGTGTTCCGCTCCGTGAGCTGGTCACGGTACTGGTTCTCCGCCGACAACAGCGTCCGCTGATCCTTCGACAGCCGCTGCTCGAGCTCGCTCACCCGCGACCTGAAGTTGGCGAGGTCGGCCTCCGCCGTCTTTAAGCTCGCCTGTGTCGCGTCCAGCTTCTCCGACATGTTCAATCGGGCCTGCGTCTGCGTCGCGAGCTGCGCGGCGAGGTCGCGGTTCTCGGCGTGCAGCCGGTCGATGACGCCGTCCCGGTCGCGGCCCTTGCCCTCGCGGTCGTCGAGCTCCCTTCGTGCACGCGCGAGCTCGTCCTCGAGGCGCTCAAGGTCGCGCTTCAGCCGATCAACCTCTAGCTGGAGCGAAAAGCGTGCAGTGGTATGCGTCTCTCCGGCCTTGCGCGACTCGGCCTCCAGGGCTTGCAGCGAGGACTGCACGGCACCGAGGTCGGCCTCCCGTTGCGAAAGCAGGGATTGCGTGCGCGCGAGGTCGTTGAGCGCGGATTGCAGCGCCGAGTCCTTCGCCTCGAGCTGCCGCCGCTCTCGCCGTATCGCGGCCTCGTGCTCTCTTGCCGCCGAATCCATGTCCGCTTCAACGTGCTCCCTGCGCTGACGCTCACCGTTGAGGTCCTGAACGAGATCTTCCACGCGCTGGGTGAGCTCGTCTTGCCGCCGTCGGTGGGCTTCCATCTCCTGCTGGCACTTGTCATAGAGATCCTGCATCTCCTCCAACTGCGACTTGAGTCGTTGGCATTTCTGTAGTGCAACTGCTGGTTGAGGATGCCGTGCTTCTGAATGCACCTGCGCTCACCTCCTTGAGAGCGGCCTGAATGCCCTCGAGCCTCTCTCGCTCCACTGCTTCGTCCTCGCGTATCCGCGCACTCTCCTCCTTCAGCCTATCGTTCTCGTCCTCCAACACGTACACTTGCTCGCCCAGTCTCTGGATCTCGGCGTTGGCGCCCGTGATCTCCGCATCCTTCTCCTCCGACTCCTGCTCAACATGGGCGAGCGCCGTTTCAAACTTGTTGATGACCTCCTCGGTGTTGGCCTCGAGCTCGGATATTTGAGCTCGGAGTTGCTCCGACTCGTGATCGCGTTCCGCGAGTACCTGTACCGACATAAGCGGAGGAGAAGGAGGATGATACATTCGCTCACATCCTTGAGCTCCTCGCACTGGTTCTTCGCTTCCTCCACCTCTCCTCTCCACTCCTCGTCGATCACGCCCACGATCCGCTCGTGCTCCGCCACGAGCTCCTCGATCTCACGGTTCTTCGCCTCCAACTCGTCCTCCTTCTGCTGCAGCTCGATCGACACTGCCGCGAGCTTATCCCGAACCGTGTTCAGATCGTCCTCGACCGCCTCCCTCGCGTCGCGCTCCTCCATCATCTGCGCGCGGCTCTCGCTCCTCTCCATGCTCTCCGCCTCATGCCTGCGCCGCGTATCCTCCAACTCGAGCTGGATCCTCTCGATCTCATCCAAGAGGTCCTCCCGCTCCTCCTCCTTCTGGGCGATGACGCGCTCCTGCTCCTGCACCGCCGCCTGCAGATCCTCGTTCGCCGCCTCGAGCTCGCGCACCCTCCTCTTCAACTTCTCCCTGCGCGCCTCGCCGCCCTCGGCCAGCAACGACGCGTCCCCGTTGCGCTCGAGCACGGCCTGCAACCGCTCCTTCTCGTCCATATGCTCCTGCAGCACCTCCCGCGTCTCCTCCAGCTCCGCCTGCAGCTGCGCGTTCTCCTCCCTCAGCTCCCTCAGCTGCACGCCGTCGTCGGGGAGCCCGCTGCTGCCGCCTCGTCTTCGTCTCAGTTCGCGCAGCTCCCGGTCGCGGTCCTCGAGCAGCCGGCCGTTGGAGGCGAGCTCTTTCTCGAGCTCGGTGACGACCTTGCGCATCTTCTTCAGGTCGCGGCCGCGCTCGTGGACCTCGATCTTGAGTTGGATGTTCTGTTTCAGCGCGGACTCGACCTGGTCCGGGGCCAGCTGCGCCAGGCGCTCCTCGAGGAAGTGCACGCGGAGCTTGATGTTGAAGTTTTCCTTCTTGAGGTTGTCGATTTGCTAGGTCGCGCGGGGTGAGTCGAGTGGGTTGGGTTGTGGGGGTGTGGAACGCACCTTCTCCTGGTCGCGAAGCGTGGGTGCCTTGGGACCGGCAACGCTCGATCGCGAGCGCTTGCCCCGACCTGGCATAGGCGTTCCCGGCTCGTCCTCCCACCGTTTCTCCTTGTCGGGCGTATTCAATACGCCGCCCTCTCCATCATCCGCATCCAAGTCTCGATGAGACGACGAAGCCATACTGCCCAGGCGCTTGAAAACGGGTCCATTGCGAGAGAGGGTGGGTGGAGAAGGGGTGGCGACGGGGGCGGAAGAGGGGGCGGTCGAGCCGGAGGGGATGCGGGCGTTGCGGCCAGGAGTGGATATGCCGGAGACGAGGGAGCCGAGCGAAAAGTCGGGGAGTGTCGCCGAAGATTGGCCTGAGGTGTCGGCCTGCTGGTTGAGAGCGGCCGACATGGCTGTTTCGCCGATGTTACGGGCAACAGTCCCTGGGCTGTTGTATTAAGATATGTGCAGGGTCGCTTAGCCCAGAGATCAATGGTGCCGCCAGACAAATCGGCCTTCGTGGATCCAACACTAGCTCCCTCGTTGGTGCGCGAGGAAACAGACGAGAGCGGAGGGCAGGCAAGGTTGGCAGGCGGTATAGGAGATCGGCTCTCGCAGCACAATCGCACCGCGACGAGCTTCAAGAGCCCGCGCCTGGGGCACGTGGTCGCTCAACATGTTGACGGGCGCTTATCTGGCGCCTGATAAAACCTTCCCGGCGGAGAGAGGAAAACGCCGGCCCGAGATACTGATTAGATGAATATGAAAAACCTAGCACGACTAATACACTAAACTACAAAATACATCAGAGCAACATCAATATCACAAAGGCGAGAATCAGCGAATGACGTAGTCGATCGCCACTCGCTCGCGCGGAACGTCGGGGCGGAGGACAATGCTCATCGGGCTGAAGCATGGGCACGTCAGGGGCTCGCCCGTCGCGCCGCGGATGCGAGACTGCGCGAGGTGCTGTTGCGGAGGCGGCAGCGAGGTGATTTCCAACGTGGGCGTAAAATCCGCTAAATGACGACAACGTCAGTCGACGTCCTCCGAGTCAATGGGAACAGCTCGTCGAACTCACTCTTGTAGCCATGGGCCATCACCGTCTCCCAATCACTGGTGGCGCAAAGCGGTCGGTCAAAACGTTCCTGGGAAAACGATAAGTGACTGGCTTACATTTGCGCGAAATACGGGTGTCGTTTGATCGCGGCAATGTCCAAGCGCTCTGCAGGATCCATCTTCAGCATCTATCACAGCGACGTGAGTCAAGCTTCGAGCAATGATATGAACAAGGAAAGCCCACCCCTAACAGGAGATCCCGCAGAAGGCGGTCTGGCAACATGGCCAGTGCGCCGCGAATAGTGTCGATAGAGGGCGGCGCCGCCCACGCTTCGTCAGCAGCCAACGGTCGCTCGCCATTCCTGGCCCTCACATCAGCGAAAAAGCCCTACCGTCATACCAGCGTCAGCATCAGACTCAAAACAAATGTACGGGAGCATTTATACGCACTTGATCGAAACCACAAGCGAGCTCGATGAACACCATACCCAACGACCACACGTCTGCGGGCGCGCCGTGACCCCTCTGTTCGCCGTCCGGTTTACCGGAATCCATCTCCGGCGCCAAATATCCCGCCGTGCCCGCCCAAAGCGGCGCCTTCCACAGCTCACGGACCGAGTGCCCGAACACGTGCGCAACGCCAAAGTCGGTCAGGACGACGTTGCCCGTCGCGGTCAGGACGAAGTTATCCGGTTTGATATCCCGGTGGATGACGTTGAGCGCGTGCAGATCCTCGACGGCCTGCACCATCTCAGCCATGTAGATGGCCCGGTCCACGTCGTCGATCGGTGCACACCGTTTAGCGAGGTCCATCCGCGCGCTCAAGCTGCATCCGTGTAGGTGCTGGAAAGATCTCGTCAGTATACGAACCGAACACCTGCGATAGGCAGATCGCTGCTTACCATCACGATATACACCGACGTCGCGTCTTCGAACGAACAGATCATCTTCTGCAACAGCGGGCTGTTCGACATTGTCGCCATCGTCAACACCGTGATTTCTCTATGCACGTCCCGCAACGACCCATCGCGCCTCATCGCCGCCGCCTTCGGCAACTGCTTGATCGCCACGTCCGGGCCTCCGCCAGGGAGCGACTCGGCGCAATACACCGACCCAAACCCGCCCCTTCCGATACCACCGAGGATGCGCCATTGCTGCTGACTCGAGGGATCGCAGAGGATATCGCCGGTGTGGAGCTCCCGCGGTGGGTACCTGGCGATCAGCGTGCCTTTGCGCTTGTGCGCCGGGGCAGGGAGACCCGGCGGTGCCGCAGGGTACGCTACCGAAGGATGGTCCACCAAGCGCAGCTTCCTGGCGAGCACCGGGGAAGGATCCGCTACAGCGCGCCGTGCGACGACGTCCTGTTGCGCGAGCGCCACATACGGACTAGCCTCGGCTGCCCGAGCACGAGCCTCGCGGCGAGCTCGGGATTTGATCGCATGCGGCTCGAGCCACGTCGCGCCCTGTTCTCGTTGCTTGTCCGATTCAACCTCCTCATGCGCCACTGCGGCTTGCACGGCCTGCGCCTGAGCGGCACGGCGAGCTCGAGATTTGATTGCGTGCAGCTCGAGGACGGTTTCCCCCTGTGCTCGTTGCGAGTTAGGATCAGCCACCGCACCCGTTGGTTGGGGGACCGGCACGGCCTGTGCCGGAGCGGCATGGCGAGCTCGGGATTTGATTGCGTGCGGTTCGAGCACGGTGTCCCCCTGTGCTCGTCGCGAGCCTGGACCAGCCACCGCACCCGCCGCCGGGAGGACCGGCACGGCCTGCGCCTGAGCCACGCGGCGAGCCCGAGACCTGATCGCATGCGGCTCGAGGAGGGTGGGTGCGGCTTGCCTAGGGACGAGATTCATTGCATCCGCCGCCGCCGGTGTCGCTTGTGGGACTGGCGCGTTCGCCACGTTTCCGAAGGGCACCCTCTTGCGAGGCGCGTGCGCCAAATGCCGGACCATCTTGAACGCGCTCGCATGAGCCTGCTTTGCGTCACCTGCGACCTCTGTCGGCCCATGTACGACGTTTTCATCGACCTCCTTAACTGCAGCCGCCGGGCGAGCCCCGCGGAGAACGATTTTGTTCGCGTTGGCATCTGGGAGAGGCTGGGCGGGAGCCTGTGCCCTGTCGGCAAGGGGATGCTGTTTGAGTAGCTGCTGCAGCGCCAATCCCGGAGGCAGACGCGGGTCGAGCGGAGGCGAAAGAGGGAGGGCGGCGACGGCAGCCACCGCCTCACGTACCTGCTGCGGTGGAGAGGGCGGGCGTGCAGGAGGAGCGGCGGGGGGCAGGAGAGCCGGGGTAGGTGCGGGTAAGTCGCAAAGGGTTCGGTGCGGGGCGGACTCTGGGGTGCGCAGCTCATTCTCGTCGTCGACCGAGAAGCGGGATGTGGGTGGGGGTAGAGGAGCCGCGCGGACTACAGAACCCACGATGAGTGCAGGCGAATCGCATAAGGGTTGGTGCAAGGACTTGGAAGAATGCAGCTCAATCTCGTCCTCGTTTATCGGAAAGCGGGATGACGGTGGACCGCGTGGTCGCGGCTGAGGAGTCGGGGAGGGCGGTAGCGGGGCCTCAACGGGAGCGGGCGAATCGCCCAAAGGCTGACGCAAAGACTCCGGGGTGCACAGCTCGGTCTCGTCCTCGTCGGTTGAGAAACGGGAGGTTGAATCCGCCTCTATGACTAACAACGAAGCCGCGACGGGTGCGGGCGAATCGCCCAAAGGCTGGCGTAAAGACTCTGGAGTACGCAACTCGAGTTCAACTTCGTCGTTGGGAGAAGGGGGCGGCAACTTGGCCTCTAGGTCGGAGAAACTGCTCGTACGCATGTCATCGACGGGGCTCAGCCGCTGCGTCTTCACGATCTGCCGTGTCATAGAATGCGCGGCGGAGAGATTCGCGGCGTCGGTCATGCCGAACTGGGTGAAAAGGTCAAGCTTGAGGGCGGAGGGGCTCGCGATCTTCTTGTCGAGCTCGTGGACATAGTGAGCGAGCTGCGCAAAGTGGACGGCGAAGGAATCGACGGTGAGCATGATGAACAGTTTGATGGCCATGCCGACGAAGAGGCAGACGTAGTGCATGGCCCACAGGCTGTAGAGTGTGAGGACGGGTATGAAGGGTATCAACTTGTGTGAGGAGTCATGAAGGATATCATAAAGTTTCACGATGTTGGCTTTGAGATCCAGGACGAGAACGCGAACGGTTTCGAGGAGGGAGGTTATTGTTTTCCGAGTGGCGCGTATGTAGGCATTGCATTTGACGCGCCACTTGAATGCCAGAAGGTCAACCAAGGAGGTCTGGATGGCTTTTGAGACGTAATCGTAGGGGGGTGGAGAGCGGCGATGCGGATTCCGAGGCGGGCGCTCCGGGGGCGACGATGCGACACGCTTTCCAGGAGCATGTTCTTTGTTGTCTTGGTCGGAAGAGTTGCCGATGTCGACATATGACTTCTGGCGGACGCGTCGACATTCATAGACACGCGAATCAATGACGCGTAGACTTACGGTGGCGTCCTCGAGGACAGAGTCCTGCTGTTTGCCGGGGGTGTAAGGCGGGGTCACTAGCACGCCGTTCTGCTTGCGATTAGATTGGATGGAGTCCATGGGGTACTATCGAGCGCGGGAGAGATCCGGATGGGTTGGTTGGTGCGGTTGGTGAAAGAGAGACGAGTGCTGCATCCTTGGTCTGTAAACGTTCTTTATACTCGATCGTCTTTGTCGCTCGCTGTGGCCTTGCACGCAAGATGCTTAGCCGACGGGGCGGGGCCTTGCCACTGGAATCTCAGATCCGATATCTGTGGCCCCGTCGGTTCGGAGTTCGAAAGAGAGCAAAGTCGTCCATTGTCCGTACGGGGTGGCGTTGCTCGGTCGACTGCGATGCATGGTAGAGGACGACCGCCACAGGAGGAAGCGGGAGGAGGGTGATAGTACACGGTCGGATCGCTGCAGGAGAGTCGCACGGGGACGTCTAACGAGATGCTAGGCGAGGATTGTCGCTCTTGTGGATGGCTGCGAGGTAAGGACAATGAGGATTGTCTGAGTTCGAAATCGGCTCACCTCGGGATATCAGCAGCAGAGCACTGGATGACGAGAGCTGAATTTCCGCGCAACGCAAAGCCAAGTCTGGAGAGGATCTTACTGGCGTTGTGAGTTCGCAGGTTCAAGTCGACAGCGCAGGTGGTAGCAGGCTGGTTGCTCAAGTCCGCGTTGTCGACGGCATCGTCAAGCACCGTCGGGTCGACATCGCGGGCCGTGCGACTATCTACGCCATGTGTGTATACCTGTTTGTCCCTACACTTTTCTGACGAGGATATAATCGATGTACGGGTATTTATATTGTGAACATCGAGTAGGAGAGCAAGAGTCCAGGTACAATGACATTGTCCGTGATCACAGCAGGATAACTTGCAGCGCGAAACGAGGATACAGATAGCACGAGCATTTGACAGTTTACGGTCGTAGTGTCCCTCCACCGCGACGGTTCTCGAACGCATCGTAATTCATGGGGCTGAAGAAGGGACATCTTACGGTGTCTCCGAGAACGGGGTAGCCTGCCGCATCGCGTTTGTCCCCGTCAATCTTCGGGGGCGGAGGGTCCCTCGGTATCGACATCGTGGAATGTATCTCGGGTATGTACGACACTGTCAAACAAGACCTCGTTTGATCGTTGCCAATAGTGCTCGGTAATGGAAGACTTACGAATATAAGACTTGTCTTTGATCCGTTCCCACTCGCTGATCATGCTGTCAGAGAACGTATAGGTTCGATAGAGAGTCAAACGGGATCGCTCACATCTTGACATTGGCAAAATACGGGTGCTCCATGACTTCCCGCAGAGTGGGACGGCGCGCGGGATCTTTCTGCAGCATCTGGACAAGAACGTGAATAAACGAAACAGCGCTCAGCGCCAGAACGGGGAATGCCTCACCCAGAGCACGAGACCCCGCAGTTCGAAGTCCCGCATCCCATACAGCATCCCCCGGATAACCTCAATCGACGGAGAGTTTGTGTGATGCACTAACACATCGTCCCGCTCTGGTTCATGCCATTGCAGATGAGGATGCTCCATATCCTCCATACGCAGCATCACGAACAGGTTCTATCGTGGTACAGCGTCAGAAAGGAAACACGGACTTCGTGATGAGTAGACTGACCGAGTTGAATCCGAGAGCAATTTCCGCGAACACCATGCCCAACGACCAGATATCAGCCCGTTCGTCGAAGCTGCGGTACTTAGTGTAAGCAGAATCGGTCGGGGACGGGTCGAACAGCTCTGGGGCCATGTAGCCCTTCGTTCCTCCTCGTGTAGCGCACTTCCACATTGGGCGGTACGAGTGCCCGAAGTTGTGGGAGATGCCAAAATCGGTTAGCACGATGTGTCCCCTTTCGTCCAGGAGGAAGTTATCCGGCTTGATGTCGCAGTGCACGATATTCAGCGCATGTAGGTCTGCGAGCGCTTGCACCTATCATAAGAGCGTTAGCGGCGGCCGACTCGACGAATGGTACGACGCTGGCCAAGGCGTACCATCTCGGCCATGTAGATGATTTGATCGGTCGCAGTAATCGGGTTCACTGCACGCTCTTCCATCCGTTTCGTCCAGTTGCTATGTTGCAACGGCTGTGATTGATGCCTCTGTTTCAGCACGGGTACTCATACCACGGTCAGAGATGCGAAACGGAACCCCTACCATTACGATGTACAGAGACCTCGCGTCCTCAAAGGAGCACAACATCTTCTGCAGAAACATGCTGCTCGATTCGCGTGTCGTCTTCATCATGATGGATATCTCGGTGTGCAGGAAGCCCAACGATCCGGAATGATCCAGATATTCAGCCTTAGACACCTGCTTTATCGCCGTATCGATCTTCTTGAAGTTCGGGAGTGGTGCTGCGCAATACACACGGCCGAAGGCACCTTTGCCGAGCACTCCCAAAATCGCCCATCGCTGCCCAGATACTGGGTTGGTGAGCACGTCGCCGGTGTAGAGTTGACTCGCCGCGAGCGGGTGGGGGGCAGGCTGGCCAAGGGCTTGCGCTTCAGCTGCAACCGCCACAGGCAAGGGGTCGTTGTGCGTGGCGGCGCCATGTTCCTCCTCGGGTCGATCATTTCTAGGACCGGATCCCGCAGCTCCCGCCGTCTGGTCTACCTGAGGCACGAGTCCGGGTGGAACATTCGGAGCTTGCAGAGCGGGCTGAAGCACGTCTCCAATGTCTTGCTTCTCGACTTCCTCGACGTGCACGAGGGCCTTCGCTTCTTCATCAGCGCGCAGCATCTGCTTCTGCTTCCGTGCAGCAGCCACTGCTCGCGCCCGTACGGGCAGAGGCGTGGGTCGCTTCGCGGTCGGCACAGGCTGAGCTGCGGCATCTAGTCCGTCCAGCTGCAGAGCCATAACTTCGTCCAGAAATCGTGTTACAACCCCTCCTTGTGCCTCCGGATGCAAAGTAGGATCGAGCATAGGAGACGGTGGAGCCGCCATAGCCTCCACCTCGCCAACCCCCTTCGGCGGGGAGGGTAGGCTCTCGTCGCCATTGGCGGCGGTGTCGGGAAGGGGGTCCTGATTCGGTGCAGGTGAATTACAGAAAGGCTGACGCAACGATTCCGGAGTGCGCAACTCCTGCTCGCTGTACGCGGACACAGCATCTTCCACGTCCGAAAAGCTGTTCGCGCGCACGTTGGTAACGGGGCTCAGTTGCCGCTTGCTCTTCGACTTCTTCTTCGTCTTGCGGGGGTCGCGCTGCGACGGCTCTGCACTCAAAGCACTATATCGGGTGAAAAGTTCGAGGTCGAGCCCCATTGCGGAAGAGCGGCCCATGACGCCAGGATCGAGACCCTGAACATGGTGCGCAAGTTGGGCGAGCGCGACGGATGACGAGTCGAGGGCGACGACGACGAGGAGTTTGAGGGCCATACTGACAAATAAGAAGACGTAGTGCAGGATCCAGAGGCCGTAGAGAGTGAAAACAGATACGCAGGGTGTCAGGGTATGAGAGACGTCGCGGAGGGTATCGAGGAGTTTGGCGACGTCAATGGCTGGGATTAGAGCGTGAACCGTGGAGAGATAGGAGGGAGATGAATTCAGATTAAGGCGTATATCCACGTCCTGAATGGGGTTTGTGTTTGCATTATGTTCGATGCGTGGCGGGTCGTGGATGGGGAGGTCGTCCAGATAGGTCTGGGTGGCTTGGGAGACATTACGGAGCGGGGATGGAGGGTGAACTATACCGGTATGTCGGATTAAGCTTCCCGCAGGCCGAGCAGGGCTACGGGGCGGACGTTCAGGCGCGTCGGAGGCGGGTGATAACAAGCCCTCTCCAAGTTCCTTCTCGTCATCCTCTTCATCATGTACTTGCTCTTCGTCCGAAGAAGAGTCGAGATCGAAGGGCAAGTTCTAGCAGATGCATCGATGTTCGTTTGGTTCCAAGCATGCAAGTACAAGTTCGACTTACAGTTGGTTCTTTGCGAGTCTCTGGAGTATAGGGCGGAGTCACGGGTAGACCGAACTGCTTGTAATCGGGCTTGAGGGAGTCCATGAGGGCACTGTCGAGCGGAGGTGGTCTGGCAGGTCGTCGATGCAGTGGGGCTCGCGGCAGGGAGGTTAGGCCTGCACCGTTTGGCATACACAAGAGCGACCTTTATATGGATGATGATGGTCGGTCGCATTGGCCCTTGTGCACGAATGCATCGCGGACGCCCACAGCGAAGGATAGATCTCAGATTCGTCCATTGTCTTCCGTTCCGTCGTCGGGACGGGCACGAGAGACACAACAAAAATTGCAGTCCTCGGCTTGTTACCATAGATGTGATGAATAGAGGCGGAGGTGATCTTCATCGTCGCAAAGACCGTTGAACTTGCGGTAGTAAGTACAATAGGACAGGCTGGCTGAGTTTGAAATCGGCGTTGAGGGAACAACCCGTTGAGGACAGCAATTGCAAGACGCACATAAGTTACAAGTACGTAAAGCTATGGCAACTTCGCCCAACGCAACGTGCATTCACAAGCCAGATATACTGGTGAATAATGATCGATATCGACTACGGAGCAAGGGAGGGAAGTCAAGGCTGGTGTTCTTCCGTCCGGCAACTCCCTGATCATAAGCGCTTCCCTCCGACCACCCAACATCAAGGATGAATTGCGTTTCTTGCGCCTTCCCTGCGACTCTAGGCGGATCTTGAAGCGTGCAAGACAGGCATGTACAGTTGTTAAGACCGCATACTGGCCGTTTCGAGGCCGAACCCTGTGCATTGTGAGAAATATACATCTGTACTGTATTCGTTTGCCCAAAACCTCATTGCAGGCTCGTATATATTGATTGTTGATGCTCAGCTAACCCGCGCTGCATGCACCCACGATACTCTGGAAAACGCTTGTCCGTGACTTGCATGACGGTGTTGGTAGCCAAGCTAATATATGGTTACCGACGACGTGTCGACCTGCTCCGTATTTGCAGGCTTCAGAAGCAATCAGTATCTTCAGGCATCTGACCGTACCCGGAATCGTTTCCGTTATTGCACCGGAACTTCGTTGTAGCAAGCGGCGTCCGCATCCCGTAATGCAACGCACGGTAATTACATGGCTATAGCTAGTGGGGTAGAGGAAGTCCGGCCAAGATCTCCTTGTTCGTAAAAGCAACGAAACCAACGATAGCGGAAGAGGAGATTACGGACAAGACGAGCAATCACTGTCAGTAGGAGAGACGATGCGACTTATGCCTGAATAGACCCTCCATCGACTGCAGGAAACATGTCGTAGTTCATGGGACTGAAGATGGGACAGTCCACACGTTCGCGGACGGGATGGCCCGCCGCATCATGCAATTCCGTTTCTGATGGTAGTGGTTTAGACTCCTTCGTGGTTTCGAACTGTAGGACGGGCTTGAACGACGCTGCGACCGGAAAAGGCAGGAAAGAGGTCAGTCCATCCGCCAACGATCGAATGAGGTATTCATGGATAACGACTCACGATCTCCGAACGAATGAGACTTGACCTGTTCCCAGTTACTAAACCGGAAGTCAGGAAAACGATATATTCGGATGTCTTTCACTGTCACGTACACATTATGGAAATAATCGTGGTGTTTGACCTTTGTCAGGGACGGACGGCTCTCAGGATCCTTTCGCAGCATCTTGGAGACGAACGTTAATGGTAAATTCTACACCACGCTAGCAAAGAGTCCTCACCCAAACGAGCAGATTATGCAGATAGGAGTCTTGTAATCCACAGAGTGCACCTTGGATGGCCTCGAACGAAGGAGGCCCCTCAACATGCCTAGATCCGCCATCCTGCTCCATGATCGCGATAAAGAAGTTCTGTCATAATCGAGCGTCACCGGCATATCTGACATATAAAACCTCGCGATGAACGCACCTTCTTAAGCCCAAGAGCCATCTGTAAAAAGGTCAAGCCCAGGCTCCAGATGTCGGCGCGCTCGTCGTAGCTTCCAAATTTCACAACAGGATCTCCGGGAGGAGAAATAGGATGCATCTCCGGGGCCATGTAATAGAAGTCCCCCGCTGCCCCGCCGAGCTTCCACATGGAGCGATGCGAGTGTCCGAACTGATGTGCGACGCCGAAGTCAGAGAGCACGACGTGCCCCTTCTTGTTGAGGAGGAAGTTGTCCGGTTTGAGGTCGCGGTGAACGATATTGAGAGCGTGTAGGTCTTCGAGCGCTTGCACCTGTTTATTTTGTCATGAGAATGAGTTGGGAGTATCAACTCTCCGATTAAGGGAAACCCGGAGTCGCACCATCTCGGCCATGTATAGAATTTGATCGCCAGGAGTGATCGGCGTGTCCTTAGACATCGCTAGTCTGTCCCTTAAGCTGCAGCGCTGCAAAGGCTTGTATCATCCGAGAGGTCAGCGCAGGATAGAAATCAGGCACGACCGACAAAACTGACCATTACGATGAACACGGACGTCGGGTCCTCAAAGGAGCACCACATCGCTTGCAACAGCAGGCTGCTTGATTGGCGCGTCGTCATCATCAATACCTCGATTTCCTTGTGCAGATATTCCAATGACCGGTGCATCGCCATGTACTCGGCCTTCGACACTTGCTTGATCGCCACGCTTGGCTCGTAGCCGAGACCCATTGCGGCACAATACACGCGCCCGAAGTGACCCTCGCCCAGTTTGCCCAGAATCCTCCATCGCTTCTCCTTAACTATAGGGTGAGTGAGCACTTCGTTGGAAGAAAGCAGATGCGCTGAGTGCGGGTGGGACGCGCGCGCATGTGCAAGTGCCGGCGGAGCCGCGGGGGCTTGCGTAGCATCCGCCGCAGGACCGGGGCCGTGTTGACCATTTCCTAACGGTTCCTCAGCTCGTGAGGCATCGAGGGACTGGCTTGGCTGAACGCAAAGACTCGAGCTCAACGTCGGAAACTGCGCCGATTCAGTCTTATCCAGCTGCGCGGGAGTTGCATCATCTTCGCGGGATCGCTTGTGACCAAGACCAGCATTCGCATCCGTGGCCGGAATTGTGGAAGTCACAGGCTCGTCCGCCTTAGGCGGGGGAAGCTGTAGCGCGTCCGTGATATCCTCCTTATCCTGACCCTCAGGCACCTCCGGCGCCTGCCCATGCTGCTTCTGCTTCCCCCCTGTCGCAAGGCGCGCGCGGCGGGGCAGAGGGGCGATTTTCTTCGCATCAAGCGTAGATTGAGCCGGGACGCCTTCGCCCTGTCGCTTTCCAGATGCCACAAGTTTCTCCATAAGTCGTACGAAGTGAGGGTCAACTTCGGGGGACGTGCGTGCAGCCACTGCCCCCTCGTCGCGCACTTCATTTGGTGGCGAAGCCGGGTGCTCGTCGGCAGCGGCAGCAGGAAGGGGTGCTTCGATGGACGCGGGAGAGTTGTACAGAGGTTCACCCAGCACTTCCGGAACGAGCGGCTCTGATTCGTTATAGTCGGACAAAGAGTCGTCCATGTCCGAGAAGCTACTTGCGCGCACAGCAGCCACCGGACTGAGCCGCCGCGTCTTCTTCTGCTTCGTCTTCGTTCTAGAACTACCGCGCTTCAGCCTTCCTGCATACTCGGGGCCGAAACGGGTGAGGAGGTCGAGGTCAAGACCAAGAGCGGAAGAACGATCCACGATGCGGGGGTCGAGAGTGTGGACGTGGTGAGCGAGCTGCGCGCAGGCAATTGAAACAGAGTCGAAGGCGACAATGACCAGAAGCTTGATGGCCATACTGACAAACAGGAGGACGTAGTGCAGAGTCCAGATAACATATAGGAAGAAAATGGAGATGAAGGGAATCAGGGTATACGAGACGTCGCGAAGGGTATCAAGGAGATTGGTGACGTCGACAGAGGCGATGAAGCTGTAGACAGTAACGAGAGAGGAGGAGACAGAGTCTAAGGCAGAACGTATGTTCAAGGTATATATGGAGTATATGTTTGCGCCATATTCGAAGCTTGGTTGGTCGTGGATAGGAGAGTCGTTCAGCAGGGGCTGGGTGGCTTGAGAGGCGGGACTTTCGACGAGAATTCTGGGGCGAAGCTTTCCGGTGTGGCGAAGTCGAGTTTCCGGGGACCGAGACGGGCCACGGGGCGGTAGTTCAGAAGCATCGGAGAGCGGCGATGCGATACCCTTTGCGAGAACGCGTTCCTTGTCGTCAAGTGACTCCTCCTCGTCGGATGACGTTACAAAGTTGTCGTACGAGTTCTAGCAAAATCATCAGGTTTGGATGATTACTAGGACGCGCGGCTACGTTTCACTTACGGTGGCATCCTCGAGGGTAGAATCCTTGAGCGTCTCCGGGGTAAAGGGTGGCGTAACGGGCAAGTTAATTTGTTTGCGATCGTGTTTGAGGGGTTCCATGAGGTACTACGAGGTGAGGGGTGGGGTGGTCTGGTAGGTCGCTTGTGCAGATAAGCTATGCAAATAGGATCGTGGCGGAGAGGATGCACCTGCATCGTTCAACTGTGAAAGAGCGCGCCTTTTATTCATGATCACCTTGTTCGCTCGCTTTGGCCGTTGTACGAGGAGGTAGCGATGTGTGCCGAGGCGCGGTACGGTTGAATGCAGTCCGTCGTCCAGGACGCACACGAGCGAACACAAGACTCCAGTAAAAGTGCAGTACTAGGGCTTGTTGTTGTGTATACGATGAATAGAAGCCTGCACGACGATCGTCATCGCGAGGTTTGCGGTGCTGTCTTGTAAAGTCCAGATACAATAAGCATAAGTAACTGGTCCAAATCGGGTGTTATCTGAGATCCAGGACAACAAGAGAATACCAAGGCAATTGTGTCGCCCAAAGCAATGCGCTTACACAAGTCTTGGTCGGTGGATTACGATCCAGTGCAATCGACGAGGGAAAGAAACAGGTGTTCGGGTTGAATTTGATCGAAGATCCGGGGCGACGCCACGCTGATGGCGCGCCACACATCAAATCGATATGCAGAGGATATTGTTGGCATCACATCGTGTATAGCTACAAGTACATTTTGCGTGGAGGATGCTACATGTGTCGGCGGTGGCTACAAAAGATATCGTGTCGGAACGGAAGCAAATATTCTGAGATTCAATAAAAAATCACAAGTCGAACGCGCTGCTCCTCCATCCCTCGCTCGACTTTTCCTGCTCCACCTTCGCCTCGACAGACTCTCGGAAGGTCCTCACCTTACGCGCACCCTCGTTCAACGTGTCTGCAGCAACCTGACCCGCCTTCTTTGCGGTCTCAGCTCCCTTCTGCGCGCCCTCCTGCGCCGAGCTCTGAACGTCCTGCACATCGATGTCAAGTTCCTCGCCAACCTTTGCCGCGGCCCTCTTCACCTTCTCAGCAGCAGGCTCCGAGAACGTGCCCTTCGGGCCCCGCTTCTCGCCGGGCAAGATCTGAGGTTCGACACCCATGGCGATCTGGAAGTCATCGCCCTTCTCGCCTTTGATGAAGCCGGTTCCCGTGGCGCGCCAACCACTGGTCGCACCACCCTGACCTTTAGAATAGTGCCCGATCTCGCTCCAAATCGCTGCAAGGATGGAAGCGCTTCTCGGCAGGCCGGTGTCGCCGAAGACTTCGGCGCGACAGCCGACATCCCAAGCGAGACGGTCGGCGAACTCGAGCGAAGCCTTGATCTGCTCCGCAAGGGTGGTGGCGAGAGTACTGCGGAAACGAGAGACAAGGAGGGGTTTGAAGACGGTGACAAGGACGGAGTGGTTCGACGATTTGATGTTGATGTCCACCTCGTCCGTGACTTCCACCTTGACATCCTCGATCTTGTGGAAACCTCCACGCTTCTCGCGTTCTTTCAAACCGGAAGCTGTGTTGGGCAGCATACGCACACGAAGATCGATGTCGATACCCTTCGGCGGTAAGGTAACCTCCATGATGCCCGTGAACTCCGAAGGCCCGACGGTGGCAGACTTATCCAAGTAGTAGAACGACACTTCCTTCAGTTGAAGCTGAACACCTGTAGCATGGATGTGGGTGTAGGCGCCCATGGCAGTCTGGGCTTGCCCAGCCGCAGAGGCAGAGATATCGACGTCGGTGATGTTGCGAATGTAGACATGACCAGGGAGGAGGGACAACGTTGAAATGTCAAGGTCCTCGAGCACGAAGTCAGTGTCTTTGTCCTTGTACTCCGTTCTCGGGATCGGCACGTCCTTGAGCAAGCCGAGTAACCGAGGCAGGTAGGCATTAAACATGTCCTGGAGGATCCACGTGCTCTGACTGAGAGCCGAGCCAAGCCCGGAGGCAGCCACTTGGGCTGATTTCTGTACGCCGCTCGCGGCGGTCTGCGCGATCCACATATCCTCCTCGATATCCTTCTGCAGCTTCACGTGCGCCTTGCGTACGCGGTCGAGCTTCTTATTGGAACGAATCCCTTGCTCGAAGGAGTCGATTTCACCCTTGAAGCCGTCAACATCCTTTTTCCACTTGCGGCCGTAGTCAGAGTCGGCATCGAGCAACGCTTGCCAGCGTTCGCGAAGGTCACTAGGGTGGCATTCAGATACACCGATCAGTATCAATTAGGATAGCACGTACTCGTATTGCTGCGAGCTCTCCTCACTCCGGACAAAACCGGGCTCCTTCAAGCTCTTGCGCATGTAGTTGAAGAAGTTGTCGAACCACTTGCGGGTATCGCTATCTGTGCGTATGTCCGCCGCACAGGTGCGGAGCGCAGCGAGCAAGTCGTCGAGAGGCTTATCACCGGCGAGACGCTCGATGAGCGTACGAAGCGATCGGATCGCTTTGGGTACGTGTTGCTCGGGTGTCGGGTCATCAATGAATGTCTCGAGCGATGTATCAGCATTGACATCCGCAGCGGTTTCGAGAGCCTTGTCCAGCCATTTCTGAAAGAGGTCGAAGATCGTACTGACGGCCTGCTGATAGTCTTTGTCGGACTGGGCACGATCGCACATCTGTACAAAATAATTCAGAAGGAGTGACACAGTCGGTATCAACGAGGGTCAACTGACCTTATAGTACGCATCGTTGAGCCTAGAGCTGCTGCGTTCGGATATATCTTGTGCGCCACTTTGTACCTTCTGGCCTGCGCCGATGACATTCGAGCCCGCGACCTTGACCTGGTAATCGGTGGTTCAAATATATGGAAGGAAGGCCATGGTACAGAACGTACTTGATCCATCGTCTTTTCGAACTTCACTCGCGCATCCGCGTCCTCGGGATCACCGTCGGCGGGACGCTAAAATGACGGGTATACATTTAGTGCCACTGGTTGTGGACATGGCTCGGTGAATATTCACCTTTGTGCCGGTCCCAGGGTTCCGCTCGCCACTTTGCACCTCGGAGTCAATTTCGCGTAAAGTTTGCTTGGTGGAGGCAGCAGCTCGCTCGATCAGCTATAAGGAAAGGGTGTCATTGATTGAGCATATCATTTCCAAGGGATCGTTTGGCTTTACCTCCGCACCATCCGCCAACGTTAAGCGGGTAAAGCTGGCGAAGTCATAGAACAGACCCTGTCCTTCTACCGAAATGTGTGCATATAGGTGGGAGATGAGCGTGCGCAACGACGCGCGAAGTGCATTGATATCGCGCGTAGCTGTGAACTGGTTTAACGGACAGGTTATCTGCACCGCGGAGCACGCTCACCTTCATCTAGATCGACATCCATAGAATCGGTGTCAATGCCAGTATTCTTGAGGTCGCCCGAGCCCAGATGGTATAGCGCGTCTTGGATCACATCATCACCTGAGACAAGCTAGCTCAGCGCATGCGCAAGCCATATATGGGAAACACCTCTTGCCATTGACTTCGTTGCCCAGCTCACGATACGCTTCGAGGACCTCTCTTATATCGTTAATCAGGATTTTTCCTTGGACGGAGAGCTCTCCTCCGCTCCCAGAAGGTTCGACCTGAATGGAAGAGGTCAGACAGCACAGGCAACCTCGACACTGCCGCAGACACGCACTTGCACGAGGCCACTGTGTATGAGCCAGTCAATCCAGGAATCAACCTGTTTCTGGCTAGGGATCTTGCCAGCATCGAGTGCAGCGAAGATAGACGTCGCGCGTTCCATGGTGTCGTAAAGTCGTAACAAGTAGATAATTGGGGAAGATGTACGGTACAAGTGTCGTTGGTGAGATGGACGCCTTGTATCGCCCGAGAGTATATATACTGCGCCCCTGTAACGTCCGCGTCATCGTCGTCATCGTCGATCGGTTTATGGACAAGCCGTAGGGATGGAAGTGGCACTCGAAGAGCTTGAAGGAGGAGCGCGCAGGGCCAGAATGACGCGTACGGGCGAGCGCCACACATCGAGCGTGGGAATATTAGCATCCCTTCTTCTCCGTCTCTTCGAGTGCAATTGTACATGGATGATGTCAATCACCGAGCTTGGGTATACTGAGCAACTACTCGGAGCTGCTGCTGAATGTGGTCCATCCTGCTGCTCACGACAGCATGAGTAAAGCATCAGTCCACCGAAGCCTGACAAACGGCTCGGATATCAGCGCTCAGCACTTGCATTTTGGTTACATTTATCCTGCGCTGAGGCTAAAATTCCGTTCAGTTGCTCTAGTGCGTCGGCAATGTACTTCATACATGGACGAGCGTCCTGCATGTCATGCCTGCATTTCTGCATCAAGCCCCACACATATTGGGCAATGGCCAGTCATCAGGGAGACCAACGCGCCTACGAGCATGAGCAACTCACGCAACGTACGTCGTTGAATGCAATCGATTGCTCGTGCAAATGTTGCAAAGCCTCTGCAGTTCGCATCAACTGATGGGGGTATCAGTCGTAGTATTGTGAACCGTTTCTCGCAGTGTATTGGCATGAGCCCTACTAGCGTCTTCGACTTCGCAGGTGTCACCTTGCGCGTTCAAACCAAATCCGCAAGTGTTTCAGGCTCCGCAAAGCACTGGACGAAGCAAAGGTTTGGTATCGCAATAGTGTCGTTGACACCAAACGCGCAATATAGAGGTGCGGAACAGTTCCGGCTCTTAGGCTGAGAGCATATATCCACACCGAACCGGCCACACAAAGCACTGGTGCGATGTGGTTATGGCCAAAGAAGCAGATGGAAAGTCATGTCAGGATGCAGGAGATTTCCATGCGACGACAGTCGCGAGATCTGTAGCAGTGCCCATTCACCGGGGGCCGTATCCTTTCATGGAGTTAGTATGGCTATAGTATATGCACGGGGGGGATATACAGGCCACACGAGCCTATCGGACCTATATTATGGCAATGGTACATACGAATTGTAACGTTTGATGAAATATGCAATGAGTGACTGTTTGGTGGTACGAGTATGGAGTACAATGAATAGGTACGCCAAGGATGGGTCTCTTTCGTTTGAGTGAGCGGTGAAGTGGTACTGTGAGAGTCCATCAGGATTGGTGATAGTTCAACGTCATAGACCTGGCGCAGACACTCACTATCCTTTGCACGACGACAGACCAGACCTTCCACGTTAGTGCACAGGCACTGAGAGCGAGCTGCGCACGTAAGGCCGCTCGGGTCGATCACTTTCGGGGTCGACTGGCCTTCTCCGCATTGGCCTCGCGCGCTTACGACTGAGGAGGAGGTTCGCGATGAGATGCGCGCGCCGATCCCGCTCCTCCCTCGCCTGTTGCCGTAACATCTCCATCGAAGGGACGGAAGGCATGGCCAGTCGCAAGACGTAGTTGTCGGCGAAGGGATCTTCTGGTTGCTGCTGTAGCGCATTGAAGCGCGGAGGCGGTGGGGGCGGACGCCGGGGTAAAGGACGGCGCATGTGGGGTGAGGTGCGAACCGCCCCGGACGATGCCGCAGCGCGGACGCGCGGTGACGGAAGTCCTGGAGGGGGAGGTGCGGCACGGCTTGCTGGCATAGAGAATAGGTCGCCGCTGTGCCCTGACGAGGGGGTAGAGCAGGAACCTTGGATGCTGCGAATACGGTGGGCCATTGCGTGAATGCAGTGTATGTCGAGGGTGAGTCGAGCGTCGATGATGTATAGCTATAGGTGCTTCGTCGTCGTTGGGCGCGCTGCGCTGGCAAGCGTTGTCAATATGGGTGCGTCGGTTGGAGCGCGCAACTGACCAGCGAGTGGAACCTTTATTGCAGGTGGACAATAGAGGACGTCGTTGTGACTTCCACGGCTTTACGTACGGCGGAAGGTGCTGTGACAATAATGGGCAGCAGCACGGGCTTGTTCCCTTTCAGGGGAACGTTATGCACTTCCACCGCCTTCCGGAAAGGTCGCGACCTGACTGGAAGACGCCGTCGTGCACCTGGCCATCACGAAGAGCGTTAAGCGGGTCTACGTGTCGCTGCGGTTCGAGACAACACACCTCGTGGCAGGCACGGGTCGTACGACGCGAGCAAGGAAAGGATCGAGGGCGAGTTGAAGACTCAAGAGGTGTTCGTTCTGGCGCTCTTGCTGGTGATGCGGATGGTTGACGACAAGGAATGGACTGGAGAAGATAACTTAACGAACGCGGATTTGTTTGGGGTTGCCTATATCATGGCTGCGGGCGGGCCTGAAAGGCTGAGCATAGCCTCCGCGCCGGGCCCGAGGAGTCGGAAGACTTCGCCGTTGCCGTTCCCCCATCACCACGAGCATTAGCTCATTTTCCTTGACCTGATACTTTTGCACCACCTGCTTGGCTTGGATGTCGGGAACTCTAGTGGCCGCAAGTAGCGCGCTGAGGATGTCGAAGAGATCTTTATTGAATGGAATGGTCAACTGGTCCTCCCGGAACGCGGGAATTTTCCCAGAGATCATGCAGTGTTCTCCTTTGCCAACGCATATTGTGCACCGTGGACGTATACTTGTGCTCTAAGGGGCGATTGTTCTGAAGCCTTCGATGACGGGGTTGTCATAGCTGCCCGCTTGAAGCTTGAGCTTGAGCTTGAAAGCTGGAGGACACGTCCGGATCAAGCTATTCGTTTGCTTCGTGACCGTCAATGGGCGAGCCCTTTGGGGCCCCTGACGAGCCCAACATCGTCATGTATAACGCTCTGCTGTGGCCTTTACGCTGAACGAACACGGGGTTGCAGTCGCAAACGCCAACTGTATGCGTTGCTATGGGGACCCAGTTGGCCGTTATCGACGACAACAAAGCAAAGGGTTGGCAACTTTGTCACCAGCGAAGAACGTAACTGAGCGACGCCTCTCGACATCTCCTCTCTTACTCACATTCGGTCGCTCACTCAGACAAACAGCCACCATGCAGTGAGCACAACCGGTTCTTCCATTTATTGTCTGGAGACTCACTTCGACATCGCCACGGCAGCTCGTATAGCTAACTTTGGAGGGCTAGGCAGGATATACTGCCCTGCTCTATAGCAATTGCAGTCTATCATCTTCGATATGCAGTCCTCAAGCGTGCGCGAACATCAAGAAAATGGATACCTTGCCTGAATACCTTTGCCACCCAGGCCGTGTGGAGCCACCGATCATCAACAGCTTTGTGGCCCAAGGACAATGCCCAGACATATAAGCCTGCGTCGTTCTGTTGGCCCTCCTTGTCCTCAACCGCCACCCTCTCGACCTCATCCATACCATGATTCCGATGTCGCTCTTGCGAGCTCAGCTTGCTCTGAGCGACCCTTTCCGCACTGGCATCCACGCCACTTACGGTCCCTCACCTCTCACGCCACCCCCGGTCACATCCTTTATTTTCAACTACTTCGCTCGCGCGGCCCGTCTGCTTGACGCCATTCTCGCCCTTTTCGGTCTCGGTCAGATATCCACCTGCGATTGTGTTGAGGACTCGGCTGGTGCGTGTGCTACTGGAGCGGCGACAAAGGTCAACCCCAGCCTCCGCCGCCGCCAAGAGCTCGAATGCAAGATCTTCGACGCCATTGTGGCTGGCCTTCAAAGCGATGAACGCTCTCTGCACCCCCCTACCTTCACCAAGCCCCGTCGTCCAACGGCTTTGGGAGAAGATGCCCATACTCCATTGCTAGTCGCCGACGCTGTGTTCGACTCCGATGCATCATCTCAGAGCTCCATATCAACTCCCTGTACCCCGCCTGCCTCGCTTGTTGATGACGTTGTCTGTGCGGGAGAACGCCCTCGTGCCCCATCCATCGAGCTGATCGACGAAGCCGTTTCAGACTCCGCACTCCCTGGGCCCGGCACGGAGGAAGACAAAATTGCTACTTGTGCCCACATGATCGAAGACGACCTCGGGACCGCGCTAGGATTGGAATTCTTGTCGTCTCCAATCGCTGTCGAAAAGTTTGACCACATCAAAGTCGGCGACGATCTTGCTTATATTCCTCGTTACTCGGAGGATTCAGCGGTTGCTCTCAGCGAAGACGAGGACAAGGGCGAGGACGAGGACGAGAAAACTGCACCTGTGCTGAATAGTGACGACGATGACGCGGAGTCTACCTTGCCCAAGGCCCCCGCCCCCGTGCTATTTGACGGCAACAATACATGGACTGCCTGTACTCTGACAGGAAAAGGTGCTGTCGGCTGCGTGTTTTCTGCCAGGTCCAAGGAGACAGGGATCGAGAGAGCTATCAAGGCCTGCAATAAGCGCCAGCTCATGGTTAACGCGCAGGCGCGAGGATTTCGAGCATCGGATGCGATCATTGATATTCGCAACGAGATTGAAATATTGAAAGGAATAGCGTCCTTTGATTCGTCTCCCTTCCTGTGCCACCTCGAAAGCTCCTGGCAAGATCAAACCAACGTCTACATCGCTATGGTACGTTGATAGTTTCTAGATGACTCAGTTACCGTATTCATAACCGGACCTCAGCCGCTGTATTCCGAAACGCTCTCATACCGCCTAACTGCTACTTCAGGCGTGGTGTCCCCCCATGACACACTCTATTACATGGCAGAATTGGTGAGTGCTTAGGACGAGGAGAAGAACTAAACACTAATGATCGAAGGTCGATGCAATCGCATTCCTGCATGGCTACAGTATCGTTCACCGGGATATTAAACCTGATAACATCCTCGTCGACGCGGAGGGCCATCTTGCGTTGTCGGATTTTGGCCTCTCCACCGTTTGTCCCCAAGGACAGTATTTTGATTCGTTCACCCCCCGCGGAGTGTGCGGGACACCTGGATACATGGCGCCTGAAACTGTCGACGAGAACTCAGGGTTCACAAGCTGGAGGTCGGACATATGGGCGGTTGGCGTTGTCTTTCTGGAAATCAATCTTGGCTATACTAAAGTAAGAATTATTTTTTTCCCATAGGCCGCTGACCGACACGGCTTCCTCTTCGCAGAATTACTTCCATGACATTACGCAGAAGTACGGCTTGGGACCACATGATGATGAACTGTCGGACCGTGTCTGCGAGGTCATCCGTCTCAATGGCTACGCCAAAAGGCTCGCCTTTCATTTGAGGCGCATCAGGGATGGTAACGCCCGTCGTTTAGTGCAATTGGTATGTCGCAAATAGGCAAGGGAGAAGTCACGGTATGGTTCTTACCGTCTTTACACAGATGCTAGACCACGCATGGTCAAGGCGACCTTGCATATCAGCAATTAAGTCTGATACGCTCTTCAGCAATATGTGAGTTTACAGTATATCGCCTGCCGAATTCACCAATGGTAATCATGTCAATGTTCACAGTGACTGGGTCAAGTTACGATCCCGAGGATACCCCCGTGAGTACCATCAAGGCACTCTTCGTTTGCTCCCCCCCTGACCTTTGCTTGGTCAAGATGACTACCGACCTGCCGGCGTGCGTAAGCACAAGGAAAATGACCAGCTAGGTGAGGCGCTTAAGTTTGAAACGTGGGAAACCACGCAATATCAAGACATCGACAAATACGAGCCCAACGGGTTCATCGATTTGTTCCTCGCAGCGGACTGCGCTGGCCTTCCTTATTATCCGTCGATGCATCTCGCCTGATTCTTGTTTTAACACATTATCTCCAATTTCCTGTTAGAATCCTTTATACCGCCCTTGTACTATACCAAGGACTTTCTGCATCTCTCTGTATACTATTCAGTAGGCATCGGTCGGACGAGCCATGTCATTATAGATTAAGTCCAGTGTGCTCGAGAGTAACTATAGCCAGATCCTAGATTAAGTGTGGGAAAGATACTGCGCGAAAAGATTCAGCTATCGCTGTCACTGCCGTCGTCTCCAGCATCTGCAGGTCGTCTCTCAACAACTAATTGGGCGCCCCCATTCATCTGCGGAATGTCTCGAAGTTTCGTGTTGGGTGCCCAAGGAAGCTCCTTTCGGGGGTACGCGAAGAATAACTCAAATCCCCACCAACTGTCTGCTCCACCAACAGCTCGGATCTGCGATTGGATGCCTGGGTCTCCAGGTTCAAAGCCCTGAGGCACATCCGTCGGGTCGTCCGTAGGTGATTGGGATGACGGCAGAAATTGCGAGTCGACGAATGCGTAAAGGCCGGTGAGCGAGTCCTCAGGTGAGAGGATGCGGATCCGCCTCGAACCATCGGGCATGCGCACAGTGACTCGAATCCCGCCCTTCTTGGCTTCCGGGGGTACGAGGGCACGCCTTGCCCACCGGCGCCAAGCACCCCTCTTCTCCTGCCAGCGTGCTTTCTCCAGCTCTTCTGAGGCCTTCTTCTCGCGCTCCTCTCTCTCCTTCTGCTCGCGCTCCTGCTGTTCGCGCTGCTGCCGGCGTTCCTCCTCTATCCGGCGTTCGATCCTTTCCCTGTCCTTCCGCGCAGCAACTTCGAAGGCCTCCTCTTGCATCCGCCGCAAGTCACGTTCGTGCTCCCTTTCTCGCAACGTGGCGCGAACCCTGTCTAAGAACGGCTTTACTCGCGGGAGGAGCTGTGTCTCCAGGTGCGCGACAAGCTTCGATGCGGAAGTTGGGCCAGCATCAGGCGTGGCGGGCCCTTGGTGGCGGGACAACACGGTCATGTTACCGGTCGTGCTCGAGGAGCGCGACGCTCCGCGCTGAGGTTGCAAAGCGACGAAGGCTACGAATGGATATGTGGTAGTTTCAAGCTTCTGAGCGGCTACGTCACGCGATGAGCTTTTGCTAGATGCCGGGAGGCTGAGATACCGCAACATACCCATCCATGCATCCTTATCTCGAACATCGCCACCCCAGACGACGAAGTCGTTGTCAAAAAGCAGTTGGAGTAACCTGGGATCCGTGAGAGTGACCCTAGTATCGCGCGAAAATGTCAGATATGGATTAGTCCATGGAGCGGCGCTTACCTCTTAAACTCCGGCACGTCGTCGTGTTCGTCACTGACGAGTACAATGCATCCAATCCTCGCCTCACGTTCGCAGAGCTTCAGCGCCTGCTCATAACTCGACCTGACGAAATCTGGTAGTGACTTGCGTCCATCATCCTCCGCATGGCGGTGCGTGAGCGTCGAGGATCCCGTGCTGTTCCCGTTGGCGCTGACACCGGAGGCTGCGCCGGTCGCACATATTGCGCCCGTCTCCTCTTCTAGCGCCCGAACCCATCGATCCGCGGCAGTACGCGGGTCAACCTGGCCAAAAGACGGCCCAGACGGCGGTCGATACGTAGACAGAGAGCCCGTGAAGTTCAGTCGAGGGAATGGAATACGCAAAATGCCGAAGATGAAGCGAAGCATGTTCGACAAGAGATTGAAAGGGAATGATAGGATCGTCCAAATGGTGCTTTGACGTGGAGTCACGAACGTAGGGGTGCCCTAATATTCGGAGCGTGAGTATTAGAGGTTGAGCACAGTTCAAGGCGCGGACGTACTCGCGGAAGGATTTGGCCTTGCTCCGAATCGTCGAGCTCGAATTGTTCAATGGGAGGACGCGATGGACCAGGAGCAGAGGACTGTCCGGCCGAAGGGCCGTCAAAAATCATCTCTGCAGCGACCTACCGGGCCTATAAGATAGCCAGTCTACCACGCATACATACACGCGCTCACCTGCACGTCCCAGCCGGCGCTCTTGAGGATTTCAATTGCCACGTCGGCGTCGGAACCATTGGTGAGCGTTTGAAGCTGCTCTACGGCATCGCGCTGGGTCTTGGTAAGGTCGTCCATAGCCGAACGCCGTATAACACTGGGAGTCCGCGTGATAGCGGAGATGTTCGGTGAGGACGGTATTCCGGTCGGATACCTACTTCCGTGCAGACACAGAGCCGAAGTATATGGGCGGCCTTGGGTTATATACCAGTGGTCGGATCCCGAACGAATGGAGTTATTGATTCCAATGAGTGGTGGAGTGATCGAGGATGTACAGCGCGACACTGGCACGCAAGGGAAGGTGCACGCTCGCGCTCTTACCTCATAGCCAGTCAAATCCCGTGACCGGTAAGTAATACGGGACGGTGCTATTGGTACCTTCATTCACCTGATGACTGTCGAGCCAATTCATGTACAGGCTAAGCAGGCTGCAGACGTCGTAGAAGTAGCTATCGAGGTACAAAATACATATGAGTTCACCATTCCCGAGCAGCTTCTGCAGTGCAATGTGGTTCCATTCTGGCCTATTGGCTGAGGATAGTGCGGACGAACGACTCGTAATTCACATTGCCATCCCTGAAGATTCGTGAGCATACTAGGCTATAGAGGAGGATCACATTGAGTTGACTGACGCTCCGATCTGAACACCCTTCAGCAGCTCGTCGACTTCTTCGTCAGTCATCTTCTCGCCAAGCTGAGTCAGTACGTATCGAAGCTGCAGATCACGACGTTAGTTGCGGTGCATGGCCGAGCAGTATGAACATGCCTCGCCGGCGCCGATGAAACCGTTTCCTTCCTTGTCGAATACTTGGAATCCGCGGATGAACTCCTCTGTTCAAAGACGATCGAAGGGGGAATGCGTGCAGTGGGAAGGAATATTATACAACGAAAGTGATGATCAGCTGCCGCATCGAACTGTTCGGGAATATCACGCACCTGGCGTTCCTGCGGGTTTGAAGCCATCCGGTCGGTTGAGTATAGTGAGGAATGTCTTGTAGTCAACTAGACGAAGAGTATCGTCAGCTACAATGGGATATCTTTAGTTGCCGAGCCAGCAAGTAGAGCTGAGCCACTTCGCGGCCATGGACGATACGATCGGTGACTGAAACTCGGTGTGCACAACGTCCCCGACATGATTGGCATAGCAAGAAAGAGAGGGAAGGCACGTCACACTATTAGAAGAGGACATATTGCTCACCATCCCTAGGTGCACTGTTCACAATGTCGGCCACCTCTGCCTGTGTTGGATTCTGGCCCAAAGCGCGCAACAGATCGCCCAGCACCTCCCTAGGCACAGCACCGGTACCCTTCTTGTCAAACAGCGCGAAAGCTTCCTTGTATTCTGTATGGCAGTGTATCAGCAATACTGCGGGATAACGCACGCCAACATACCTGCGTTATCACTCTAGGCAGGTCATACGCGTTTCCATGGTGCAGCAGCAATAGGTCGTGATTCATGCAAACCGACGCGTAATCGCACGATTTTTTAATCATTAGAATTGGTTCAAATTTGACAGGAAAGGCAATCAGCACAAAGCACCGCACGATCCATAGAATGAAACCCACCATCGTCGGCGGAGGGGAGGGGGAGTGGTAAGGCTGGAGAATGCCTGATTTGGCAACGCGTCACAGCGCCACTCCGCCGCCCGACGCGTAGCAGCCAGCGACTGACTCCGACATCAATTCAACGACAACAACACAGAAACGCGATTGCGCGATCCAGCTCTCCTCCTTCGACAGTCTGCTCAGATTTTGCCCATGAATGCAGCGTACCGTACTGGCTTGGCCGAACATGGAGAACATCACTACGGTTAACGATCACACAAGACGATAGGGATACAAGGAGCAACGTCGACAATGGCCAGATCCCCTCTGAGCCTCTCTTTCGTCAATCGTAGAACACGAGAGCCCTGAACTCAATGGAATTCCTGAACAGGGCATTCTTGGGCGTTCAAGGATCTTCTAAAGCTCTATGCGGAGTCAAGACAGCGACGCTCCCATCTTGGGACTGTATCAAAGAGAATGCTCGGCTTTCAGCTCTGGGTTGCGGCGGCGAATGGCTGTAAGAAAGATGGCATAGCAGATTTAGCATACGCCACATATCCCGCTACACGTACTGCGATTGAAGCAGACGACTCTGGAGGCGCGCCGGTGAGCTCGCGGCTTATACTCAGAGAAAAGCACAACATTTTGCTACCTCCGCCGGAGAACGTACTCCCCTGCGAGAAGGGTGAGTTGATCGCGACCCTCAGTGTACCGCAATCAGATGCGGGATGTTGAAGTCCTATCCCTGGACAGCCAACCTGGAGGACAGCCCCCGCCTCGTGGTGACGGACAACGGCTGGTCGGAGGGATGATGAGAGCATATAGCCGTCTTCGGACTGACAACCTTGACGGCACGTCCATCCTTTCTATCTTCACAATGCTCATCAGCAAGTCTGAATACTCACACGCGAAAAGCGCCTATCATAGTGCACGACAATAACTTCATTCGACCGAGACTGTAACAAATACAGAAGACAGACGGCATGCAACATGTTCGACTTGTTAACATCAATTAATCGTAGAATACGAGCGCCCTAAGCTCAATGGATTGCCTGTACGGAGCATCCTTGGGAGTCGAAGGGTCTTCGAAAGCAGTATGAGGGGTCAATACGGCTACGCTCCCATCTTGCACGGAGTCGAAGCTAACATGCTCTCGTCAGACACGTCCTCGTAGCCTTATCGGAACGACCCACCACTTGATCAGAACGCCCTCGTCGGGCTCTAAACCCCTAACGTATTTCCAGCGATGGTTAGGGTTATACTTCACGGAGTACGTCTCGCCTTCCTTGTCGGGATACTGAACACGGTCATATGAGTGCTAACATTCTCTTCATATACGACGAGTACTCACAATGAGCGCTACTGGAATCAAATCATTCTTTGGGTCGATGGATCTGTAGTCGCACAAGGCTAGTGGCCAGTCGTACGCAGGGTGCGAGATGGGGCGCCATAGATTGATGATCTGGAAACGCTTCTCCAGCAACCTGGGGACGTCTGCTGCAGGAAGATGACGGTGAACCCGAGCTACTGCCGCGGGTGATGTCTGGTCAACGTGTACTCCCGCTGCTGGCTGGCGGTTCTGAGGGTCGTCACCATTCAATTCTGGGTTGCGGCGGCGGATGGCTGCATAGGTAATGTCATATCAACTATCTTTCAACAGAACATTATATCATTCAAACCCGAAGACGTACTATGGTCAAAGAAAACGACTTTGGATGCGCCCGTAAGCTCCTTGATCAGGTGCTCGCTCTCGAGGTAGTATTCCTTCTGGATGTCCTCGTCGACACGGAACTCCCGATGCTTTGCAGGGCGACGGAAGAACTGGAAGCCGTGACTGTCCAACGTGGCCGCGCTCTCCTTCCCACGTAAGTTCTCTATCTGCACATTATGCTCTTCACGTTCGATGTTCGTAAGGCGACCTCCCTGGGCGTGATCACTGCTAGTGTACCTGAAGAGTCTCTCGCCGTGTGCAGGAGTGACCACGTATTGTAGCGCCGCCGTAACAGAGGATGGCTCTGACATAGTATGGAGTCGTGATCCGTTGAATGTCTGACAGATCCCAGCGTCATATGAGGCTCCATATATACTTCCGTACTCCCAGATCGCATTGCGCCAGGCAGGCAAGCGATAGCGCCATTCGAAGGAGGCTGACTCACGCTCGCAGCAAGCTGACTGAAGGAACGTCTTAGTGAGCCTCGTCGTGCGACAGGCTGCCATTGCCCACAACGAATATGCCGCACTTAACACGGCATGGACACTTCAACTCAAGTTCCAGCGATATCCACGAAGAGTATGCCTATATCCCCCATGTGTCATCGAGGCTTGAACGGTGAATGTGGGCTTCTATTGACATCACAGGGCCCGTGCGACGGTCGAACAAGGATGAAGCGCCAAACGTGATCACAGTGCGAGATGGTAGGCGATACTTATGACACAAGCGGAGAGTGACGGTCAGCTTCCTGTACTTTAAGGAGACGTTTGACTTTATGGGAGCGCAAACTGTTACTAAACGGAGCAAAAGACGCGAATACTAGCATTATCGAGACAACGAAGGTTACAAATCAGGTCGAAATTTTTGAACCTGAGGCTACGAGCTCTCTGAACGTATGGTTTCGTCAGATGACGAATCGCTGAAGCCGGACAGACGAGATGTGCTCGCCATGTACGATAACTTAATGTTCATCAAGATCAGGAGGAGCGGGATATGCGACCCTGTGCTGTTAATAATACGATGACGAACGATGTCAATTGATTATACGCGACGAGGCATCCACACGCCAGAAATCAATGCGAGTTCAACATGGGCAATTCGTGAATGGGAATGCTAACGGAACGCATAATTATCGGCGCCGGTTTCTTGTAGTCCTCGAGGATCGCGTGTCCTTGCTAACGACACGTCGGTTGCCGATTTGTCAGCCCCATCACTGACTGAAACCCTGCTTCCTCGAATCATACTGGTAATAGTGCATGTACGCGACATAAGAACGACTGAAGAAATCGTTGATTTTATTCAAGCACTGAACGACCCGGAGCATACGCCATCAGTCGTAAAAGACAAGAACCCTCAGCTCGATAGATTCCCCAAATCATCGCTAGAAATACGTTAGAGGACTGGGACTCGGCGAGGGAGTCCTGATCAAGTGGTAAGTCCTACTTTCTCTCCCAACGACTTTGAGCCGTGTTGATTTACACGGTGGTTTAGCTATGTTTCGACTCAAGACGGGAGCGTTGCCGTTTTGACACCTCGTACCGCATTCGCGGACCCTTCAACATCTAAGGACGCACCGTACAGGTTGTACTTCACTGTGAACGTTTCGCCTTCTCTATCAGCATGCTGCTCATGTGTCCGCCATGGCATCAGCGTCTTTTTCCAGAAGAACGCGAGCACTCACGATGAGCGCAACAGGGACAAGATCCTCTGGATCAACGGATCTGCAGTCGCACAGGGCTAACGGCCAGTCGTAAGCGGGATGCGAGATTGGGCGACAGATTGATGATTTGAAAGTGCTTCTCAAGCAATCTGGGAACATCGGCTACCGGAAGATGATGATGGACTCGAGCTATCGAGGCAGGTGGTCTGATCAACGTGCACAGCTGCTGCCGGCTGGCGGTTCTGAGGGTCTCTGCCATTAGCTGCAGGGTTGCGACGGCGAACAGCTGAATAACTCGGTTCAGCTGCGCGTTTGGACAGTCGACGTGACATGAAAAATAGACCTACTATGGTCAAAAAATACGACCCTAGAGGCATCTGTAAGCTCCTTGATTAGGTGCTCGCTCTCGAGGTAGTATTCCTTCTGGGTGTCCTCGTTAACACGAAACTCTCGATGCTTTGCAGGGTGACGGAAGAACTGGGAGCCGTGGTTGTCCAAGGTGACCTCGCTCTCCTTCCCGCAAAGGTTCTCGATCTGCACGTCATGGTCCTCGTATTCGAAGTTGGACGCGCGCTCGTCCGGGCCGGGAGGCTTCGTAACATATAGGTGGAGTCTGTCGTTGTGAGTCGGTCGGCGCAGGTACTTCAGGGATGCGGTGATAGTGGCAGGTTCAGACATAGCGTAGAGTCGACCGGACGCAGGCTCACCCAGCTATAACGCCGTTGCAGGTGCATATATACTTCCACATTCCTGTCTGGAGTGGCGTCAGGAAGGCTAGTGATAGCACCATTCAATGAAGACTGACTAAACTCGCGACAAGCTGACTGAAAGGATCTGCGCAAGACCCACACAAGACACACTGGCGGCCCACCTCATTCAGTTGCGGCATCTTGAGTGACGAGACATAGAGCGTGAAGATGCCCATCTACAAGGTCTGAAGGACTTGGAACATACGCGGGTCCGGCCATTGTCAATACGTCGGCAAAGTACCAAATCGCAGAGGGTAATTCCTGAATCCACCTGTCTTATTCCGCGGTACCGCGAAAGACGGACTTGGTGAGAGGTCGTCTTGTTCAGCGGGTGCCGTAGGGACCGTCATGAACCCTGGTCCCTGGTACACACTCCGATACAACCACATAGGAACCGGTCAATACGGATACACGCACGGACGTGCACGATTGGTATACCTCTCTCCTGACAAGTTTGATGCCATGATTCCAGATCGTACACTCGGAGAGATCCGTCGCTGAAGAAGCTGAAAGACAATACATTGCTGCAGTGTCGCCATAGCCAGACTCTCTAGAGGGTATCGAAAACCCTTGATAGTCGGGGGAGAGGATGCAGAGATTAGTCCAAAGGAGGCAAATGACTGCCATCATGTCTGGGACCACTGAAGCGCTACCTCAAGCATCCGTTGAATAGTTGCGATGCGATCGTGACGGAGGAGCCCCATCTCGGACGCACCGCACTGGGAACTAGCTAAGTAACTTCCAGCAAGACGTTTTCCAAAGCCAGTCCTGCGATTCGGCGACCTGATCCCAGCTGGGATGCAACAAGCGCGAGTGTGGACCTGCAGGGATGGGTATTCCTAGTTTGGGACCAACCTCTGGCTCCGGGCTTGAGGTTGGCCTCATAGATGAATGATCTGCGGAACGAAGAGCGTCGAAGATGAGTAAGCCGGCTACGGTCTGATGAGAGAGAGGAATGACTGCCATGGATGTCAAGACGTACATATGTGGGACGATCCGACCTTGTAGGGGTTTCTCTTCACCGGACTGTCTGTACGCTCGCGTCCTGTTTGAGGCTGCGTGTTTCCGATGCGAATATTCTGATAAGGCCGATGCGGTTCCACAAGTAATTGTTGCACGTTGGTCGGATATAAGGCGTGCTTCGGGCGCTCAGATGACGTAGGATCGACAATTACTGGCTGGCGACGGAAGCATAGCAGCGCCGATAAGGACATTTGTGGGTAGAAAGCGCCTCTTGATGATGCTGGTCCTGGGAAGATGGCGACAATTGAGAATAAGCTTGATATGGAGGGAGAAAATAGAGAAGATTTTCAAGTACTGCACGACTGGGAACAAGATCAGGTTCTGGTGCCAGCCGGGGCCTCCTGCGTTGCGTGATGTGGCCCGGTCGCAGTGGCGGCTGCTGGAGACCCTTCCTCGTGTTGGCAACGCGTTGAAAAGCGTGTTGCATCGCCTTTCGCGCGACAGAGCCCGATCGAACGACAATGGAAAAAATGCACGGCGTTAGAAAGGGAACGAGGGCACGAAAGAGAAAAGATTATTGCTGTAACGTGTTCCAGGACGCGAGATACGAGGCAGACGGCCTCGTTCGTTGAGCGCCGCCGCGGGGTTACGCTCGACGGCGTCGCGCTCGTTCGCAGAGGCAACGGTGGACCCCTGACGTAAACAGCAGAGCGGGCCGGAAAAGGCAAGAGAACGCGAAGGCCGCATCGGCAAACGGGTGCAGGGGTCCCTGGAACGGGGATCTGGCAGCATGCGGCAGGGCGCGTGCTGGGGTCGTGCGATGGATGCTGGCACGCAAAACCAGCGACGGTCAATCTTCTGGCTTTCTTTATCCCTTCAGCACCGTCCCCAACGATGAGCAGCATGTCCAACACACTCTGAACGCCACGCTGTCCGTGAGTCCCTCCTTGAGCCACAGGAGCACAATACAATGGAGCCCTTATGTTGCGATGTGGCCAGGAATGCGGCCTATTATCGACACCCACGGCGATGGATTTTCTATCTGCGTGTCGCGCACCGCTTGTTAACCACCTCGACACGATTCTTCATTCACCTCTGGACCATCCACCAGAATCGGCGTCCGCAGTGGCCAATTTACCGTGTGCTCATATACACCCCGATCCGCCCGTCTGCTTCGTGTCCAACACCGTGATCTACCCCTCGCCACCCCCCACAGGTTCCGAGCCAAGCCGCAACGTTCCTCTCCCGACTTTGCCTACCCCCTCCTCGTCACCGACTCGCGATCGCTGTTCCCCGGATCTCGGGCCCCTCTCGCCGATCATGGAACATGAAGAGTTCCCTCCTGTACCCCCGCCACATGAACATGTCCCGCTTTCACCCCCTCCTACACAGCCCTTGCACGCCCGTTCTCTACCCGACAGTAGCGGCGACCGTGATCCTATCCATGAACCATCAGGCGTTAGCCCGATCGCGTCGGAAGGGGTCGTGTCGCAACTGCAATGGCAAATGAAAGGAGCGCACTCGTCTATTCCGCGTTCAACGGGATGGCACACGCATCAAACCGAGTCTACTCTCTTCGGACCGAACGTCAATTGGCGAGAGCACGACTGGGAAGATCTTCCTGCAGATCGGCCCGCTTCATCTATCCTGGGCTTGCGCGATGCGGTGGAGGATCGTTCCTTGCCAGAACCTTCCAGCAGGAGATCGAGACAGATGCCTCTTCATCCCTCATATCCTGATCCGGACGAGGACGCGAGCCTGACGTCTTCATCGCGTCAAAACCCACCATTCTGGGGCTCAGAAGATGCGTTTCCTAGCGGGCCCTCGTTCTTCGGACCGAATGCGTTCTCGGGAGAACCGTCATCGGAGGCCGGTGCCTCAGTAGCGTCCGGTCCTCAGTCGTCGTGGCAGGAGACACAGACGAACGACATCCACAGTCTAGGGCTTCTTGAAGGTCCCATGATGGTACTCCCGCCGTGGGATGGTTCGAGTCTATCAATGGCCTCCTCGTCCCCAGACGCGCCCCGTGCTCGGTTGCTAACCCGAGCGCCTCCGCCCGCAGTGCACAGCCAGGATTCTAATCCATCCGTTCCCTCAGAGAGACGCCGGCCAATCGAGCTCGACGAGCTTCCTCACGAGCAGATCCCGCCACGGAACAAAGCAACTCAATCGTTCGAAGCCAGCCTATCGCTCCCGCAAGCGGCGGAGGCTGGCGTATTGGCCTATCCGTCTGTTTATCTCCACGAGCCCGTGCCCGTTGCGTTACACAGCCAGGAGCCGAATCTTCAGGCAACCTCTGAGAAGCGTCCGACGCTCAAGCTCCATGCGGCCTCGTCTGTAACATTACATTCCCGATCACCGGAGCAGATGCATATACCCGAAGCCGACCATGATCAAACGCCCGGTACGCTCCCGGATGCTACGCACCGTTCGCCTTTGTTTTACCCCCACGACTGGCAACCTGCGGAAAATGCTTCTTCGTCGGCGTTGGAGCATATGGAGGTCGATGTCGAACACCCGTCACCCGGAGCTTCGTCGCTCCTCTCCTCACTCTCCGCCCAGTCCTCTCAATCGTCCGCGTTCGGGATAAACACGCCTACGGACTCGGAGTTCAACTTGTTTGGGGGTCCTGACAACGTCAAAAGTTGGTATCCGCCAAATCATCGGCATCCAACCTTTTTCTTCGACGAAGACGACATGGACGAGATGTTGCCCCCTCCTCCGTCGCCTTCCAGACGCGGCTTTCTGTCGCTTGAGGACCTGGAGGAAGAGCCGCCGACAGCAGTGCCCGGTTCGCCCTCGCGCAGGTCTAGTTTGCCAGAGCTCGAGATGGACACGGATGACGACGCCGATGGGCGATCCGACACCCCTTTCGTCCCCGAAGAGCCGCCTCCAGGGTCGCCGAGGCGCCGCTTCCTCTCTCTCGAGGAAGAGTCAGCCATACCACCGCCATCGCCGTTCTCCGCCTACTGTTCGCACATGCAAACGCCGTCTCCTCCGCCAGCCGATCTCCCCGCGGCCTCGACCTCGAGCCTGTTACTCGTTCCCGGCACTACGATCTCATCCTCTCCTCCCCCGGACGATCCGCTCCTTCGAGAGCTTCAGATCCCCGCCAACCTCGACCCGGCATCGGAGCTTGCACGCTTGTGCGGACTCCGCGCACGCGCACTCGCAGCCGAGCGCGCAGAACGCAAGATCGAGGCACAGCTTGCCGACCGTCTTGCACGTCTCTCAGCCGATATCCTCTACTCGAAGCCTTCACTGCCGTCGGCCTGGGACCCCTTCGAGGCGGAGGCGAGGAGGGAATTGCAGGCCGTGATGACGCTTCGTGCAGAAGCCAAGAGGCGAAGAAAGCGAGCCAAGGAGCGCGGCAGGGAGGTCGGGGCACTGTTGAGTCTCAGGCTACGCGGGGAGTGCCCGGAGGGCGAGCGTACGGTTGAAATTGTGAGCGGCGGCGGCGCGTCCAAAGGCCCGACGCGGAGCGTATCGCAACTGGCGGCGAAGATGCTTTTCAGGAGAAGAGAGTCGAGCGCGAGGTTGCTCGCTAATCGACGCAGCGCTATGGACCTCGAAACGGAAAAGAGGAACGGCTCGTCGTTGTCAAGATCAGTGTCGGCGGAGGATCTCACACAGCTCGTGGCGGACCTAGACATTGTTCCGGACTTGCAACTGAAGGGGTTGGAATGCTTTTGACGTTGTTGTATGCTTTGCTAGTGCGTGAGGGCGCGAAACGAATGCCAAACATCAAGGATTGTATATTATCTCTCATCCTTCATTTCTCATACCATGCAATATGTACTTGACGAAATACGTCTTCCTGCTCTCATCTCTCTGTTCATATATCTTCATAGCGAGTCATGTTGCTCTCGTGGGTATACAAACGCCGCTGGTATACATACAGACAACATTTAGCATAAGTTACCTGATATCCTGGAACGATACATTGAGTCAGATGGCAGGGATAGCCCCTTCTAGGCCCCTTCGTTCACGCTGGCGGCGAGTTCAGTCTCGCCCGCCTGAGCCAGTTGAGCAGCTTGATGCGAGAGCAAAACCTCGCCCTCCTTCGCATGCGGCTGCAGCTCTTCCTGTGCGACGCCCCTTTTCTCAAGAGCATACTTCCTACAAGCCTCCCGACTTTCCGCAAGCGCCGGGTCGTCTCGGTCCAACGCGTAGATGTCGAAACCAGGGAAGTTGTACTCGAGCAAGGCCTTGAGCTGCGGCAGGAGGGTCTTATCGGGGGCGTAGGTCCCGGAGTTATTGTCGATGACTAGCTCCCAGCGCGTCGCATGGTCGGGCGTCTCGTCTGCGAACGCGTCCCAACCGCCCGCGGGCCGGGGATGAAACTCGCCCGAGTAACGAACCGCCGGGGCGCAATTCGCGTGCAGAGCGTGCTTCGACGCGAAGTCGACGAAGAACGCGGCGCCTGTCTCGGAAAAGCGGAAGGAGTCGTCGTCGACGGCGATGACGTAGGTATACACGGCAGGTTTGATGCGATGCGCAAATCGAGCTTCCATAGCCTCGGCAGCGGGGTTTTGCAATGTAGGTGAAAGACCTGGAAGACCTCCGTGCAGAAGGGAGAGAACGTCCGCCGGAGTGGATATCACTCCGAAGCCGTTAGTGGTAGAACGAGCGTAGAGAAGGCGATGGCCAGCTTGTATTCCAGAGCGAACAGCCATCGAGGCAGGTCCCGATCCGAATATCGTTTGAGCGGCCTTGTACTTGGTATTCCAGTGCTGCGCCTTGTCACCGAAGAAGAGGGGCACGCCTTTCAGGTACTAGTACGGAACGTTCGTCAGATAAAACCAGACGGGGGTCAGGCGAAGTTGAGCTCACTATCTTCCATGTGGAATAGAGGCGGGCATCGTTGACATTGGTAAGTCGCCCAACCGTGGGCGAGCAATGCCGCGAGAAACGTATGGGGCCGTCAAAGGTGTAGGGATGTTCCGCAGCGTTTGCTGCCGACGGTGTAGACTCGATCTTCTGTGGGTTCAGAATCATGGTAGCCGAGTGGTTCGTTCTTACTGACCTTCAACCACATAGTCCCACGATTACGATGTAGAAGCGCGCCGTGAATTTCGACTTCCTTCGCGCCCGGACTGACTGTGGTCTCAAATTTCCCGATGTAGTCGTCAACGGGGCTTCCCTTGTCCTTATCGAGAACCTGAACATGCAAAGTTGCGTTCGTGGGCACGTTTTTGACGTTCCACAGTTCGTTCCAAACGGGAGAAAGCGTGTTCTCTTTGACGGTTGAACTAATAATTATCAATAAGCCGTTCTGCAGCCGAATGAACAACTGAGAACCTGTTCGCACACGAATGATATCTTATCGTCCAACTTGGCTACGAAGTAGGGATCTGCGGTGCCCACGACGTCCATTTTGGGCAAGCCTGGGACTCGAGTGAGGATATATCTCCAAAAGGTTGTCTCATGGCGTACCGGATGCTCCGATGAACTGAATACTTAGATCGACGTACTTCGGCTCGAGCTTGACGTCCTCCGCAAACGCCTTTGCCTTCTCGTGCACACCAGATTTCGCATCGCGTGCAGCGTTGTGTAGTTGTTCGACGAAACCCGACATGCGGAAGATATTCTTATGTCCTGGCATAGTCCGTCAGGTCGATGTCAAAGAGAGAGGTGCGTCAGGCGCCGCTTACGATGGAGTAGCAGTATAACCAAGCTGAAGAAACACCGCCTCCGACTGGGCGATGAAGTCAATGCAGTAAAAATAGCGCGGCGGTCCTGAGGCGCCGGAGGCCCGGAGCCCGCCGCGACAAATCCGGATGTGCGCTCAAGCCTACTTAGCGTCCTCGTCAACGCCCGTTTACGCTGTTCGTGAAACTTGCATGGAGGTTGAAATTGTAGGAACCACAGCCTCCAACAGCTCCGGATGGAAAGAACTGTCAATACTTCACTCAGAATCGGCTTTGCTGCGAGGCGGGGCTGGGCTCGCAAGATGGCGAGACCCTTCAAGATCGCGCGATCGGATGGAGGTGGAAAACTGGTCAGGATATTCGGTCGGATTGATAAGCGTCGGTCGATCTCGAGGTACTTATCTTATCGCCACTTCACACGATCGTTCCTTGACTCATGAGTCTTCGAATCCGATTTACGGCTGTATATGAACTCGCAAGACGGTCACGCCATGTCTCCCCTCGACTGCTCAAATCATGTCCAGCGAGAACTCCCCTCTTCTCGCCAACCCGGAAGTGCAAGGTCTTGATCCTCATGAGGCCGTATACAATCGCTTTTCGGCAACTCAAAAACGCGCCATCGTCGCGCTGATATGTTGGACGGGCCTGGTGCCGAGTACGCCGTACATAGTGAACCTTTTTAAGGACGAAGCTGACATAGCAACATGGTATTTCAGTGTTTGTTTCAGGTTCTTTCGTGACGTCGATACCGCAAATAGTGAAGGACCTTGACTCGACCGGTCCAGTAGTCAGGTTAGTGCTGTCTCCTGCCGACCGACATGTGCTGAAAGTCAGCTCCAAGTCTTGCAATCAGCCTCTCCATCTTCACGTATGCGTTTGGCTGTCTCCTGTGGGCGACCTACTCGACGTTTTGTAGGTCCTGACCTTCACCTATGTCGCTCATGCATTGACTGCGTCGGCAGACGGACGACGACCCATATTCCTCGCTTCTTTGCCTCTCATGGCCGCCGGCTCCCTAGGGGTCGGGTTAGCCAGATCAGTTCCGGAACTGATGGTTTGGCGCGTCATCCAGGCGCTAGGAGCATCGCCGGGTATGTCGGTCGGCGGCGCCGTTATTGGAGACATATACAAGTTGGAGGAACGCGGAAGTGCCATGGGTCTGTACTTTGGGGTACGTGCAGAATTGCTCCAAGTTTCCTTATCAGTCCTAATCAAACTGGAGCTAGGCTTGTCTGCTTGGACCTGCTATCGCTCCACTTACTGGCGGTACTTTTGCGCACTATGCGTCGTGGCGTCACATGCAATACACGCTCTTCTTCTCTGCGCTGCTTACTGCTGTTCTGGTATCGCTGTTCCTGCCCGAAACCAGCCATCCTGGCACCCGAGGAATAGAAAAGGCACTGGAGGCGGAAGGCATTCATGCAGTCTCTGGGCTGGCTCCGGGAGAGGTTGCGAAGGAACGTCGCTGGAAGTGGTACTGGCTCAACCCTTTCTCTAGCCTCAACCTTCTACGCAGCCCGAATCTCCTGGCTATCACGATCGTCGGCACGACGACGCTCCTGACCGACTTTGTCCTCCTTATTCCGATGGCATATACGATAGGCCGACGATACAACATCACGAACGAGGCGCTCATTGGCGCGTGCTTCATTCCGGATGGAATTGGCAACATCATCGGCGCGCCTCTCTCTGGTCACATTTCGGACCAGATCATAAAGCGGTGGCGAAAGCGACGCGGCGGAGAATGGGTTCCTGAGGATCGCCTGCGTGCTGCCGTCTTCGGTGCTATGGTGCTCGTGCCGGGGTCGATCCTTTCGTCGGGACTGATCATGGCATATGTGGATGGGATTCCTGGTATTGTCTTGAACCTGGTTATGCTCTTCGCCAACGGCATAGGCGTGGGTAGCGCTTCACTCGACCTTTCATATGTTTCTTACGCAGGATGGTGGATAGGTTGACCTGGTTTTGACCCCGTGCGCGTCGTACATGGTCGATGTGGTTCACTCTCGCAGCGCAGAGATCATGGCCGCTAACAGGTGAGCATCTCAGGCCCCATGATGAGGGAGTGTTTAATCGATGCTCCCCAGTGCTGTTCGGTCTCTGATCCTCTCGGGTGCTACTACACTGATCCTGCCAAGCATCGAGACCATAGGCGTTGCGTGGACGGATACAATCGCTGCTCTCCTGGCTTGGGTGGGTTTCGGGTAAGCAGCAGATTACTTACATATATCGGTCGGGACAATGCTAACGCAACTCAATAGGTTGTTGTGGTGCACGATACGATACGGTGATAAAATGCGAGCATGGGTCGACGTCGGCTACTCCACCGCGCAGACGAACTAGAACGAGCGCTCGCGTAAAATGCTCCAACCAGGAGCTGATGATCATCAACGAGGCTACGAGGACGGGTTGTTTTACGATGTACATACGTTGGGCATGGTAATGCAATTTGAGATCCAAATCGGCTGCGCGACGCGCCGTCGTGGCGGTCCTTGGATAATATCTTCATAGAACTAGATCTTGGAGCTTTCACAGGGATGCGAGGACGTTACAGGAGATGGACAAAAGGGTTTCATCCCCCTGGATGTTTACGGGCACCGGCCCCGACCGGATTTACGAAGACAAACCGGTCCAGGCGGACCTCGGTTTGTGCATCACATGACGACTTTGCAGCAGGATTCAGTGCCATTCACTGATTCAGATTCAGAGTCATCGTCGACTTTCGACAGTCCGGGCTAGTGCACTGAGCATGGCAATTAATCTCAGTATTACGAGGGGGAAGACACGCATCCAGCCTGCAAAAGAATGATGAAAGTGGTCAAGGAGACCACGGGGGAAGACGTCCGCACGTGGCTAAAAGGGGTCTCGTGAGGGGGTGGCCTCTGGCATTGTTGGAGAGTCCCCTGGTTGCAGATGAGAGCGTTCTCAGCTCGTTCCGACTTCGACTCGTCCACAACCAGCCCGCCCGCTCGCTCCCCAATTCTCCGCGGGGGAAATGGAGTACAAACGACAAGGTGAGCGTCCGGCTTACGTTCGTGGTCATCTCGGAGAACAGGCGCGTGTGCGTCACTGCTCGACGTCAATTAGACGCCACGCCCTGAGCTGCAAGTCCGCAAAATAATGTATCCTCCCTTCGCGTGTCCTTGGGTCCCTACCCGACCACCCTCACGACCGGAAGCGCATTCTTGTCCATGACATGTCTTTGTCCCCCACGGAGGGCTCAAACTCGACAGCCGTGACCTCTACGTCCTCCGTTTCCTCGTTCTCGACCGCTTCCTTATCGTCTTCCATGTCCATGTCCTCGTCCTCCTCCAATTCTTCCTCTGCTCTTCATTCGTCCGCTTCATCCTCACCTTCCTCAATGCCCGATCCTACGACCTTAAGCTCAATATCTGACGACCCTCCTCCCTCTTCCACCATAGACTCGTCGCAGGCTAGCGACCCCACCTCCTCTGCCTCCGACCCCACGTCGAGCACGACAACGGAGACGACCTCTTCTACTTCTGTCTCTACGGGGCCCAGTGGGACGGCGACAGGTCCAACGAACACCGATACAAATACTGCCACCAACACCAACACCGATACATTAACTACCCCAACGGATACGGCCACAACTTCCACCACCGGTACTGATACCGGCACAGCGACATTCACCGGTTCAGGCCCAACATCTAGTACCTCGGGCGTAACCTCGGCTCCCAGCACTTCCAGCTCAAGCCTGGTCGTCTCGTCCCAGACAAGCGTCTCCACTACCGTCTTCGTGTAAGCTCGCAAGCATGCGGTCTTATCTCAACACTCTTGCTGACAACTCCTGTCCCGATATCGAATAGCACTACGAATGCCCAGGGTCGAGCGACTACCGTGACTGAGCAATCCACCCAAATTGTTTTATCTACGCAAACGGCAAGCAGCAGCAACAACTCCGGAGGATCCTCCGACACCGGTTAGTTGGTTGCTTGCTTCGGACTACATGCTGGCGCATAGACTCAATATCCTTCGCAGGAGCCATCGTGGGCGGCGTTGTCGGTGGAGTAGCTGCGATCCTGCTTGCCCTGCTGCTTCGTAAGTAGCGCTCCGTCCACCATGTTCCTTGCGCTGATGACGACACACGCAGTCTGGTGGCTGCGCCGCAGACGCTCCAAAGATAACTTTGACGGCAATTTCGACCCTGACCGTGTGGTACGCCCTGGCTTATGCCTTCATTTACGGTTTCCATCTCAACTCTCGTTCGCAGGTTCGGCACTCGGGCGGCGCTAACCTCGACCTCGGCGAGGCTGCTCAAGTCGAACCGTACACCCTCGGCGTTGGTGGCAACACGAACACGTCTCCGAGCGCAACAAGCGCCGGTTTCGCGGGCATGGGCGCCGGGGCCGGTGCGGAAATGACCCAGTATGGCGACCAACGGACCTCACTGGCTCATTCACATTCGATGACCTCTGCCTCGCATTCTGGATCCGGACCCAGCCAGGGGTATGTGGATTACCTTCTCTTGTCGCACGCAGCGCTGACAGAGGTTGGCCAAAGCTATGCACCTGCCGCGGCCGCCGGCTACTATGGAGGTTCTAGCACGAGCCAGAGCGGCAGTCATCCCATGAGCGCCAAAGAGCGTGAAGCACAACGGCTACGGGTACGTTTAGACAACTGCGGTCGCCGTGTGGGTATTGATCGAATTGGGCGTAGGTCGCAAACGACACTTCTGGCCAATCCGCAGGCGGTCCTAGTGGTATGCATATGATTCCTACCGATATATCTTAACCAACTTATGCTTCATTCTCAGGGGTTTATGTCCATTCCGACGGTGGACGCATTCCGGAGGAAGTAGAGCAATCTCCACCCAACGAGATTCCGCCGACGTATGACAGCATCGGCCAGCGTTGAACTGCAGGAACCCGCCGCGCTGTTATGCATGTATCGATGTCTCACATGACGAAAATCACGACTCGCTCTGACATTGGCCCTCTCTCGCGGACCACTTTGTTGCATATACTGTACACTTGCCATACGACTTACTGTATTCGCCTAATGTATACTCGTCCATGCAGCTGTGCGAAGAATTATGATCCAAGACGACGAAAACCGCGATTTTCATCATGATCACGTTCCAATGATACACCGCGATGTACATGTGCCACACATATGTACGGCCTTAGAGCCCCAAATGCTGCAGCTGTGGTATATGCCTAGCGTGCACTCAGACGAAATCATCGCAATAAGTTAGATGAACTAGTAAACACATTCGTCCTCATGCATTAGGGTGCACATGTAGTAGGTATCATGCGATTTCAGTACTATCCCGAGGGCCTTCCGGTGCATCTGCCGGCCTGATGGAACCTGGATAGCCACGTGCTGTGCACTGTTCCCGTCGGATTGTACCCCGCATACCGCCTTGGCTCTTACCCCCGTCGCTCGGCCCTCCAGTTGCCAGCCCGATCATCCAAGACGGCCACCAAGACGCTGCTCATATTCTGCTCACCGGCGCTTGCACGGGACTAGCTCGACGCTGCTCTACCACGCTCCTTGTATATATCGTATTTTCTAGCTTAAGCTGCTTCTCGCCCAAGCCGGTGCTCTGAATTATACAAAATGGCGACGAATCCCTTCAGTGAGCGCCCTTCCATGGCTTACCGTCTCACCATTTTCCGGACCGTTCTCTCCCATCCTTCAACTCTAGAGGTGTTTGCTCTGTCGTGTCGCTGTTTCGTTGTTCAGCGTACCACTCACCACGTCGAAGTGGTCCGACGTGCGGGCATTAGCTGATGAGACTCTTCAGGCATCACTCTGATTCCCCCTCCCCCTCCATTCACGACACCCTCCCAGGTGTCGTCCAGTTCCACGTCGACATCGACAGACGTGCCGTCGTCTTCTACCACGACGAGCGAGACCACGTCTACAACGGACACTTCATCTACTTCGATTTCTACCACGGATACCACCAGCTCGACGTCAACCTCCACCTGTGAGCATCGTTCGTGTTACTAAAGGGCCCTCTGGTGATCCATTTTGTCCCCAGCGACCTCCGACACGTCCACGTCTACTTCGTCAACGACCTCCACATCCAGTACCACGTCGACGACATCAACGTCCACAACATCGTCGAGCACCACCAGCACCACCAGCTCGTCCACTAGTGATACCATCACCAGCTCTCCCTCGGCCAATCCGGTCACCCAGATTCATACCTCGACCAGCAATGGCGTGGTGAGCAACCTGCGTATCATTGCGTTAATGTAAGATGTCAATGCTGAAATCGCACAGGCGGTCACGATCACTGTGGTCACACAGACCACGCCCTCGAGCTCCGCGACCAGTGCAGTAGCGAGAAAGAGCACCACGTTTGTCCCTTCCGGCGTTCGCAATCTTGTTGCTTAGATCGTCACTCTCAGGTTCTTCCACAACACCGGCGCCGTCGCGGGAACGTTTTCCGCCGTAGGGGTCATAGCACTCGTGATCTTCGCGTATATTGTCACAATGGCCATCCGGAGACGGTACGCTCCCTAGCTGTCCAAGCTCATACGCTATTACTCAATATATCCTGGATAGACGCGCGAGGAGGTTTGATGAAGAAGTTGACGAGGCTGCCCGTCGAGCCTATCAGGAGGCGGAGGCCACCAAGGCCAACATCGACTATCGATACATGGACGACGACGATGCCTATCCTCACGGTGGAGTAGGCGCTGGAGGCAGAATGTACGGCGGGGACGAACCCTACAATCAGTTTGGCTCAGGTGAGGAGGCGTATCGCGAAGCTCAACGTTCATCTAACGATGTATGCATTCGACCGCCAGGCTACGGAACGTCGTCGTATGGCACTAGCGGAGATAAGCATGATGCATTCAGTCATACAACGGACACCACCCACGGTACCATGGCACAACCACCTATGATGGCCGATCATTATGTTCCGCCCGTTCCGGTCATGGGCGGGTACGAGAGTTATGGCATGCAGGATTTGAATCACGCACCGGGCGTCTACAATACTGGTGGGTGGCTCCATGTCCTTCTGCTCGGCTCGTCAACTTATTTACTGTCGCAAGGCGCTCCAGCGTTTGATCCCTACGCAGCCGCAAGCATGGATCTGTCAGCAGTGCCGCCGGGTGCGCATCTCGTTCGCTTGATTTGTGCAGGTGCATAGTATTTACCAACAGCTCCAGGACCCGGAGGGGCTGCGGGTATTGGTGCGGGAGCTGCTGCAGTCGCTAGGCAAAAGAGCATGCGCGAGCAGGGTCGTCAAAGTGTTCAGCCACACCATGCCTTTGCTGGCCCTACGATGCCATCGCCGTTCACCGGTCAGTCCAGGAAATGCAGGGCGTAGAGAGCGGTGACTAATCGCCTATGCCTTGCCAGACGCATCTCATGAATTATTGATGGCTGCCGGTCTTGCCGACTCGTCTTCGGCAGCTGCTACGTCGCTCGCGCGGAACCCATCCCAACAACTCCTACGATCCAAGTCGAGCAAGTCTAATCCGTTGTCGACGTCCACTTCTGGCGCTTCCGACGAAGACGGTGTTTACCGAAACGTCAATCGTACCCCATCCAATCCTGGGCTCCTGCGCCAGAAATCGACGACCACCATGCTCCCCTCCTACTCGGAGTCGGTTCCTCCACCTCAGAATGCTCGTTCTCGTCGATCTTCAAACCCCCTGCAGCCGCAGCCAAGTGATGCCTCGCCGCCGCCGCAACCGCAGGAAAGCTACGCGTCTCACTATGCTAGCGACTCGCAACACCCGGCCGCCGGAAGTGGCAAACCTCGAAGCAGGCCCAACTCCCTGGTGCTGGATACAGCCCTTGCCGCCCCGACGAAACGCAACTCGCAACTGATGCCTGATTCGGGTAACCCGTACGGGGGCTACGCGACGCCGACGCCCCTTCCACGCGAGCACACGCAGAACTCGTCGCCAAGTCCTCGGAGCAGCGATGACGACGCTAACTCTCCAAGGGGATTGGATCCACCCACGCCCGGTTACGCCGACGGAGATCCCAGCCGTCTCAGCTTGCAGGATGCAGATGACTACGGCTTCGGCGGGGGCAAGCGTGTACTCAGGGTAAGTCTATACGTACGCCACTTCGCGGTTTCTTCCGCTGACCGTGTCGACACAAGGTTGCCAACGAATAAGCCTTCAAATATTTGCCCCCGCAGTCGGGACTGCGTCCCTTTATACAGTTCTCATTCCCTTCCGATTGCTGTGTCCGAACGAACTGTTGTCTTCTCATGTTCTTTGAATCCGCGCTGCGGACGATCCGACCCATTTCGTTCTTTGCTCCTGTAGTGTGTCGAGTTGATGCGCTGTGGTTTTTATTGCTAATTAGGGTTGTTGCGACGGCAATGTCATTCGCGTTTTCATATGGCGCTCGGTGAATCATGGTGATTAAGGTAGAATGACATGTGCGTTGCCGTTGCATATTATGGGACGAACATTGTTATTGTGTAAAAGTACAGTGCATAATGGATACTGTTCATGGTGTGCGATGCAAAGCATGATGAGACGACGAGCAAAGAGTACAACAATGGATGGACGGTGCAAACAAGATTCCCGTTGCGTGGGATTAACCGATAAGATATCTGGCATTGTCAATGTGAAAACGGCGGAATCACTCTTCACTGAAGAGCGAGATGGGTCGGTTGAGGCGATTAGGGGAGAGGTATTCCTCCCCGACAGGCGATAGCCGCTGTCCTCCACGCAGGTCGGGATATACGACTCCCGGTGGGACAGGAGCAGCTGCGTAACGTTCTGGACCGTCCTCCCTGAGCGACCGGTCAGAAGGAGAGCGAGCATCTGCACGTATGCGTTCGAGTGTTGAGCCGAGTGGTTCGTGCTTCAGACTGAAGTAGTCGGTTTCGTTGCGGACGGGGACGAAGCCGAGCGGGAGCTCCGTGACGCGAGGGATCGCCGGATCAACTTGTGAAGTAAGATTGGCGGTCGTGAGGGGTGACACCGTGGAATTGGTGGGGTCGCGGAACTGGTCAGGGGTAGGGTCAGGACGAGGAAGGTCGGGTATCGCTGCATCAGCGTTGACTGGAGCTGGCGGACGTTCAGTGTCGCCTAGGATGGCCTGCAGTGCTTCGTCGATACTTGGGATGGCGGGTAGCGGTCGTTCGGCATGCTCTGGAGTCAGAAGATGGGCTTCAGTCCTTGCTGATGATATGGTGGAGACAGTTTGGGACTGAGGATTACGTGAGTGACGGAGCAGAGACCGAATTACGGGGATGGCTTACCGGAGGCTCGATGAATATCTGAGGCGGCGTAGGGTCATTTGAGACCTGCGTCTTTCGCCGACGGAGGAGCCAGTCCAATGGCGTCCTCGTACGTGCCGGTGGAGGTGTCGGCGTGGATACCATCACGTACGGCTCTGCTGTACGCGAACGCGCGGGGTACCGAGGACGTTCAGGTTGTGCCTCCGGTAGAAGTTGCTGAGCTTGGTGGGATTGTGATGGGTGGTTAGAGAACTCTTGCGTTGGACCGGCGAGGGGTGCTGGCATGACGACATGACGAGGGCGTCGTGGACCGTGAGGTGGATCGCTGGGTGAAGGAATCGCTGATGCCTCGGGAACCTGCAGCGGATGAGTTGGTTGCACGATCACTTGCGAGGCGCTTTGACTTCTCTCCCTCCCAGACATGACTTGATCAGGGAGAGATCGGGGAACGGCGGCACTGGCTGTCCGAGTACGACGGTTACGAGGAGGCGGAGGACCAACAAGATCGAGCTGAGAAATCGAGAGTTGATCCGATGGGATCCTTTCCTGCATAGATGTGGCGAGAACAGAAGGACCTGGCGTAGGCAATGGCGCAGCGGTACCTGGCATGAGACCTTGCCCGGGAACGACATGAGTGGGATGAGGTGGGATGATGACGGGAGATACGATGGAACGTGATGGAGGCAATACATCAGTGCGCGTATCCGCACCGGATGTGGTTGCAGGAAGAGGCATGGGGTCCGAAGGCGTGGTTACATGACGGGCAAAGGGATCCGCGGATGCAGTTGCAGGACGGGGAATCGGGTCAATAAGAGGCTCGAGTTCTGGTGAACGAAACGTGCTTGCAACTGGCTGGACGTCTGCAACGGTTGGTTGAGGAAGAGCAGTAGAGAAGTCCTCCCTGGGCGGGGCGCTCCGATGCGTTCGACCTGCGTACGGCTGCGTTCGGACGTGATCACTGCGTTCGGACGAAGCGATGCTGTCATGCCTCGGCCGAATATCGCGACGAGGAGCGGGCATGTTTATTCCCTCTCGGCTACCGTTACGCACATGGGGAGTGCGAGTGCGACGTCCGGAGGAGGACGGTGTGGCGTGTCGAGCCATTTCCATGATAGGAAATGGGTCAGGGCCGCGGACGAACGCGTGCATAGGGGAAGGCATCTGCAGAGGCGTTGTCATAGTCGGTACGGTCAAGGCGGCGGTATGCGTTGCGGCATCCGTATGGTCGCGGATGCTGGAGCCATTGCTGCGAGTAACGTCAGACGATCGTCGGCCAGCAGACAGTTGAATGACGAATGACTAACTGCGCTCCTCTTGGTGGCGAACGAACGACGATGAACGACGGCGACGTGCGTTCTCCGTCAGGATCACTCTGAGATACAACAGACGGCTGGCGCTCGTCCTGTACCGTGCCCACATCATCTTCGTCGTCTTCTTCGACGAGCACATCTGCCCTGCCTTCGTACCAGCCTACTTGCCTACCGCGAGCGATACCCTCCCTGAGGCCCTCCCGACGACCCTCTTCACGGGCTCTCTCTACCAGTCCGATCTCCCTCCACTTTCTCGCCATGTCTCTCGCCCTCGCCGCTCTTTCTTCCGCGTCGTTCAGCGCTCGTTCAAGCCCGTCCACGATCTCTTGTGCACGCTTGATCTCCGCTTGTGCATCGTCGAGAGCACGTTTGTAGAGCCTAAGCTCCTCCTGGGAGGCAGACAGCTGGCTGAGAATGGAAACCTTGGCCTCTTCAGAGGTGCGAATGCGGGCGAGAGCGGCAGTCAAGCGTCGCTCGGCATCGTTGGCGCGCTGGGATTCGAGATCTAGACGCTCGGAGACGTATAAGAGAGCGGAATTGGCCTTGCGGGCCTGCGCGATCTCCTCGTGTGCGATGAGCTCGGAAAGCAAGCTGGTCGAGACGTCCTCGTGATGGCGGAGATGGGAGCGATGCTTCTTGCGAGGCGGGGCATCCGACGGCGACGAGGGGGTGGAATGTGTCCGGTGGTGTTCATCGATGATCTGCCTACCAAGGCGCTGCCTGGAAGACGGAATGGCGGTGGTGTGCGGACTAGAGGGATTGTACGTAAGATGTAGGAACGGGTGCACGACCAGGATGAGTGCTTACCTATCCGCACGAAGATCGTGGCCCTGGCTCATGCTGGCAAGCGACCAGCCACGATGGGCACCGGCTCAGCCAGCGCACGCGCGGGGTGCGCGACCGACAAGGTGCGGCGTACACGATACACGAGGATCGCGTTCCATTCTGAGAGTCGACCTGTGACGAAAGTGCCACGTGCGCGAGCCCACTACAGAACAGAGGGTGATCCAAGTCCGGCGCATCTCTAGCACCGCCAGAATCATCGTCTTCACCGACGACCACGACGACGACCACTCTGCCAGGTGCAGCGCGCGGCACAGTCGCCTTGAGCAAGTGCCCGTCCTCAACATTCGCCTACGCCAGACAACCATGCTGACCGGATTGCTGTCTCTCCCACCGGAAATCCTCATCGAAATCCTCGCCGAGCTCCCCTACCGCTCACTCTTCGCAGCCATCTGCACTTGCAAAACTCTGCACGCCCTTGTAGCCACTTCGCCGCGCATTCAATACGCCCTCCAATCTTCCATTGCCGGCGTCGCGCCCATCGACGAGTCCCTGACCCTCCATCCTGTCGCTTCGCGACTCGAAGCATTGCGCAAACGCGAGGAAAACTGGTCCAACCTCACCTTCACAGGCGTTACAGAAATCCCTGTCAGGCACCGCCCCAGCGGCATATATGATCTCACCGCAGGCGTCTATCTTCTGGGCGAATCCGCGAGAGCCACCCGAGGCGCCGATCTCGGAAACTTCGAGAGGCGCACGAAGGCTGTGCGCTTTGTGAGATTGCCGACCAAGCCGACGCCGAGCGAAGATGTCGAGTGGGAGAGGATCGACATCGGCGAGGATGTCGTAGACATCGGTCTCAACGTCCACGAACACGACCTGATCGCTATCGTCACCCAGTTCGTTCGCCCCCTCGCGCTTTCATGAGCTGGTGCTAACAAGCGTCACAGCGTCTTGGAGACGCCTATCTCTTCCGAAGCTTTGCGTTCTAACCCCGGTACCCTCCGCTTTTGGAACCTCCGTTTACACCTCCTGTGCCTCTCCACCGGCAAACCTCACCCGCTCGCGCGACAGCCTGTTCTGTATCTGGGCCGCGCTGGTGCAGGATACCATAGCATCGGGATTGAAATCGTTGGGCGCGCCCTCATCCTGCTCGTCTTATACCCTCCAGATCGCGAACAGGACGACATGTTCGTGTACGACTGGATGACAGGAGATCTTCTCATGGTACGCGCCGTCCTCAACAGTACTCGATTGCCGCTCACGAATCTATGCAGAAAGCGAGCGTTGACCGTGAGGTTTACTCGAGCTTCACCCCGCTAACGCACGACTTGATTGTCATGCCCAACCATCGAACTAATCACCTCGACATTATCCGCATCCCCTGCGCCGCACCGGCCCCACAGTCGACCTCCGGCGGCGTTCACATCGAAGTCGTACAGGAAATCAAGCCGATTCTGTCCCTGGGGCTGCCGATCCTGCTGCCAGGTATCAAGCTCGTTCGGTCGAGCTGTAGAGGGGAGCCGAACCCCGGAGCGCCAACCTCTACCTCCTATCCCGCGTCGGTCGATGCCCCTCTATTCACATCCCCGCCCCGTTCGTCCGCCTCCCCCGCCGAACTGCACCCTTCGGCCGCCCAGGATGCGGTCATCATCTTCAACCTCTTCATCCAGGACCAGACGACCGAGGTACGCGGCCCCTTCGGCGTGCTCTTCGCGCCCATGATGGCGTTCGCCTTCGTCGTCCATCGGCGCGCGTTGTGCGAGCTCGTCAAGTCGCATTGCGAGGTCGCCCCCTCTCCGCCGCCGGCATTCAGTGGAGGCAGTGAATCTTTGGAAGACACCGCCGTCGCGAGTAGCACGCCTCAATATCCGACGGTCCCGTGGAACACCTGGGGCCCGACACGCACCCGCTGGTTCGAGGGGGAAGATAGCCCCGGCATATGGATCACGACGACGTGCGGGCAGCGATACGTGAACATACGCGAGGAGCGCGAGCCGGATGAGAGCGCGTGCATACACGTATACGACTTTAACCCCTTGGCGGTGAAGCGGCTGATCTGGGAAAAGAAGGAGAGGGAGGAGAGGGAACGGACGGTGCGGAAGGCGATGGAGGACGAGGATGCCGAGGCGGTTGGAGGAAGAGAGGCCGAACCGTCGACCGAATACGCATTGGCCCGCGGACGGTTTGAGTACGAAATGATGGATCTGGAGGCATTCGGGTCAGATAGGTTGGACGAGGAAAGGGTGCTTGCGGACATGGAGGACGGCGGGGAGCAGAACATCGCCGAAGAGCCTTTTTTGCACGGCGCACGTCTCGTTCTTCCAGAGGACGAATATCACGATGTTGCCAGGAGTGGTCAACGCACTGATGGCCGCGCTCGTGCAGTGACAGAACCCGCGGTGCTGCGAGCCGGAAATGTCTTCCAGCGAGCCGTCATGAGCCACCTGCCGTACGTATCCGTCGAGAGCGAGGGCCTGTACGAATACCAGAGCGTTCTGGCGGATGAGGGCCGCGTGCTTGGTCTCAAGGCGAGCAGTCGAATGTCATGCCGTCTCGCGTTTCCGTCTCACCCTCACGTCATCAGGTTAACCACAGGACAGACCAAATTGAGCGCGTGGATGTCTTGCACCTCGACCTGTAAGCCGCGGCGAGCACTTATCTTGTACGATTCGGGTACACGAGAATCCAATGTTGTTCGATATTGAAAGATGATGCTTGTCACTTCAATGACACCCGCACCAGCCGGCACTTGCTACCAACACCGACCAACCACAGGGCATCCGCATTACACCAGCTCCCATTGCTCGCACGATATCAGACATGCTGCCAGGGCGTCGCTGTATATATCCGCCCAGCGGCGGTTTCCGTGGTGAAACGTTTCCCGGTACTTAGGTGGATGCGCGGCTGATCAGTGAAGCCTTCCGGGTAGGGGATTTCAATTTCCTCGAGATTTCCTCACAGCTTGAGGTAGGTCACGGAATTGAGCCTCAATTCCAACGAGATATATAGCATCAGGAAAAACCCCTTCTGGCAATTCTCTACATATATACATACACGGTTCATAATATGACTATATTCTGTCCAAATTGTCACAAAAAAGCCAAAAAATCCTACAAAACTGTCAAATCATGACATATGACAGACCATTTGAAGGACTGTCTTGTAACTACAAGGGGGCTTGGATCTACTGACATAGAAGGTGGTCCATGTACAAGGGGCTTGGAGACTAAACTCAGATATAAGTGTTGGAGTTGGGGATAGATACTTGACCGCTGACACCTCACCCTACCCCTGTCCCAGCCAGGAGGTCAGGCTGACCTCCGGGCGTCTCAGTTTTGGATGTTTGGGGTGTCAGTGCATAGCCCCAGAAGTACTGAATCCAGAAGTATTCTCGCACCTCACTTTATATTGGTAGTCGTTCCGTAATTCATCATATCCTCCTAAAACGGTGAGAAGGGCCTGGAGGGTTATCCAGCGATCAATTTCCCACGGTTGGTATGTCAAAAAATCATGTTCGCCAATCCCCTCCCACTGGCCATTTTTTCAAGATTTTAGAAGCTTCATATATTGCAGTATTCATCGAACAATCGGTTTTTTAAATCGAAAGAAATGATGCTGATAATTCACCGTCCGTTTTTCTCGACAGCTACCAACTGAATCGCTACTCACCGTCTGACAACGCCTCTTTGTAATTGTGATGGGTACATCCCTGAATATTTTCGCGATTTAACGCGCGGTGGGCATTACTATCATGCCGATAGATCCTGGACACTTAAGCTTAAGT